CCTAGTCCAGATGACGTGGCGACGTCTCATCAAATGAAAATGAAAACATGATCCCTTTCTATAGATTTGCATGGGGACCCCACTCCAGTGAATGGTCAAGATCTTGGGTCAGTTTGTAAACGCTGCTTCTGATTGCGTGAAAGAAAAAATACTACGTTTTTAAAAACCAAAAATTATAAATTGCCGGGAAGGCCTGACCCAAAGTACACATGTTTATAGCTGATAAATCCTGTCCCATTTGGAAATTAGAACCAAAAGTATTTACCGATCGACCATTTTTTGCTAGTATCACTTGATTTAGTCAGACGAAAAAAGAATACTCATTAAGGTCACAATAATAATATTACAAATGAAATTGTGCGGGAGAGTTAATTATTCCATATATCGTAAAATTATTGTCGAGTTTGATATTTCAGTTTTAGTACAATTTGAACAAAAAATGAAAATTAAAATTAGACAATAATTTCGGGACGAGATGAGTATTAGTTTTGAGAAATGGTTTTTTAGCTAAAGGTGTGTTCAAAATCATGTTGGAGAGATTAAATGCATGCATATCATCAGAGTTTTCTACTTTCCATTTAGTTAGAAAACCCGCTAGAAATGATTTCAGGTGTATTTTTTATTACTTGTTCGTATATCATTATTTATTGCAAATTTAATAGTAAAATAATTCCTCTAGTTTTAACGTGATACTATTGCATATTTCTGCGGTCATTTTACATCAATATTAATAATAATAACCTGGACAAGCTTAAGATGGATTTAAGAAAATGAAAGAGGAAGAATCCTTAGTTACGAAAAGTGACATGTGAGAGCACCAATAGAAAAGAAGCAACTGAAGAAGCCATAGAGATTGGAATCGACCCACAACCATACAATATGCCCCCATTTATTATTGTCAAATAGATCTTCTATATCCTATCTCATATCCCCAGTTAGATATGATTGTATCACCAAAATATATTGTTCATTTCCCCATTCCTTTTCCTCTCTCGGTCAGGTTCAGAATAATGGGGTGTCTTATTCTTTGATGTTATTAGAAGACTTCCATTCCATATTTTCTTGGAGAAGATAATAACTGAAGAATAACCCCTATTAATATTGATTGGAACTTGTTAGGACAAAAAGAATTCCACATCGATGTCGTGAAAGATCTGTCATCTGTTTATAAGTGCCAAAGGCCATCCCATTCATAGTCAATTGGTTTTGAGATGAGAGCCCAAGGTGACTTTGACATGGTATCAGAGCCCACGATCTGTGGACCTGTGATAACTATGGACCCGTGTGTGCGGGCTTGTGGACTGACCCGGCAGTATATCCGGAATATGTACCCGTGTGTACGGACTTGTTAACTGACCCAGCAGTATATCTGGTGAATTATGTTATGTTGTGCAATCCCAATGGGCCAAATACCCCATTGAGCTTGAGGGGAGTGTTGGGACAAAAAGAATCCCACATCGGTATCGTGAACGATCCCAAAGGCCAAAGGCCATCCCACTCATTGGCCATTGGTTTTGAGATGGGAGCCCAATGTGACTTTGATAGAACTACAATGCTCTTGGTTCATGAACTTTAATTATTACAAATTGAGAGGTGTTTAGCAAACTCGCTATCTTGTTATTCCGCTCTGGATGTTCTGTTTCGCTTTTGATAATTTGCATTTGACTCGTGTAACATTTTTTTTGAATAATGAATTTAGAGTTCGCATTAACACGCACCTTAATATATATAATGGCGAGTAAAAATGCGTGCGTATTAGTTGGATAGTAAAAAATGAGAGCCAATGTACTTTTTATTATTATTATTTTTTCTTTATGGGAGTGAGTGATTTGGTTTTCACGGGATACTGATGAGGAGTCAAAACAATAGACACCACATCAGATAATGTCAACATAAATAGCACATTGATGCATGTTTCGGGTCAGGACAACACAATGGTATCCTATGTACGTACACTTCTCATCCCTGCATGTTGTAAATCCTCAAACACTATTTTTCCCTTTAGCTCTTTGCAGCAGCAGTAGTAGTTGTTGCTGTTCTACACATCTTCCCAAATTTATATAATACTATAAATAAATTGATGTCTATCTTCTTCTTCTTCTTCTTCTCTTTCTCTACATGTTTCATGGTATTCAACAGCCCTCCATTCTGATAGGAACATGATTCATTCACAATAAAATAAACGTTAGCAATCTATATCTCAAAGATTCCCAGTCGAATGGATTATTAATTATCAACAAGGTATAGTAAAGATCAAGTATATCATGACTAGGAAGACGAGCAGTGTCTAAATGTCGAGCTATTTAAACAATTATAATTAACGAATGTTACAGTATGTACATATATTTGCACCGATTACACAAGGTGATTGGTTTCACAAAAATATTGCTATTTTAGTGATGTGCACGAAATGTTTTGCGACAAATAACGTTCAAACTCTTAAGGATAAAATGCACAGCAGACCAACCGTGTTACCTTTCATTTTCACGTGCCAAAATCTTCAATATGATCATTCATACGATTGCCAGACGATTAAAAGTTTTTTTTTTTTTCTTTTCAACAAAAGTGGCCGACTGATTATATGTGAATTTTCAAGGGGAAAATAAAAAAAAAAGCAACGCTAGGGACCTAAACACGAGCAAGTAGTATAGAGTTGTAGGGTAAAACTTTCCCTGAAAAGGGCATTTGGTTATTTCTTTTGGTTAAACCTTGGAGGTTTTTTTTTTTTTCCTTTCTTTTCTTTCTGGGGCTTATGATTGAAATGAATAGAGAAATAGAAGGAGGACCCACGAAGTAAACTCAAAAAGGATAACACTGTTTAAGTGCACGCCTGGTGTACTGTCAAGCATGATCACCCGATTATTAAGTTTGTGGATAGGCCCCTCCACTCCCTCCCTCCCTCTCAGTAGTACCCTCACAAATCTAGTACAACTCAGTTATTCTTTTGTTATATTTTCCCCCTTTTTTTTATATTATGACAATATAAATTAATTACTGATGTTTATGAAGGACATATAATTTAGGAAAGATATTTAGTTAACGTTAATGCCTTTCTCTCTTCTTCTTTTGGAGATACCATTATGATATGATAACCCAAATTGTAATCTTTCGTTATTAACATGCACCAAATGATATGGTTTCGTTTTCACAATTAATCTCACGAAAAGAAAGTGTGAGAATTTATTGATCGGACAATCTTAATGTTTTTGATAAAGTATGCCTACAAGACTATGACTGATACGCATTTTATAGAAGTCTATGAGGTTCCACCTCAAAATCAATTGACAATGAGGGGAGTAGTCAAGTGTCTCCAAACACCAATGTGGGATAATACTTCAACACTCCCCCTCAAGCCCAACGGGCTTGGACTAAATCACCAGAATCAGCCAATGTGGGATAATACTTCAACACTCCCCCTCAAGCCCAACGGGCTTGGACTAAATCACCAGGATCAGGAAATAAACCGTGGAATAACATCACAACACTCCCCCTTGGACTAAATCACCAGGATCACAGAATAACATCACAACACTCCCCCTTGGACTAAATCACCAGGATCAAGAAATAAACCGTGGAATAACATCACGGGTCGCGGAATAACGTCGCGAATTTAAATTAGGCCACAGAATAATATCGTGGGCTTAAAATCACCACAGACCGAGCCCTTTCTGATACCATATAGAAACCCATGGGGTTCCACCTCAAAACCAATTGGCAATGAAAGGAGTAGCCCGTGGTGCTTATATACTGATACAAATTGTCTCCAGACACCAATGTGGGATAATTAACATTGCACCTTCCTAAAGATTGGCTTCTAAATTTCCAAAAGGATGCTCCTAAGCTAGTTTATCAGGAATGCGAGAGAGAATTATTGATTTACAAATATGCTGTTGTGAAAAATACACTTGATTTCACATAAAAATCGCATTTCTTTTGGACACAAAAAAATAAGTGATTTTTTATTTAGTTATCGTATCCACATATAATATTCTTCCTCAGGAAACAAGCTTCAATCATTCAAATTTCTTAGAATCAGGATTGTTATTTGAGACAGAGAAAATAAAAAACTACTCTTTTTTTTATTACAAATTCTATACTAATATTGTAAATTTGATATAAAGTTAAGTAGATTATCACTACTTCGACATTCACACCCCCAATTAATTAGGAAATATTGCTTTCACGCGTGAGCATGAAAAGGGTTTCTGCCCGGTTGCTTACAAATGGACGCAAGTTCTAAGCAAGCTCCAATTCAATGTCTTCATCGTAGATTCTCAGTTCAGTTCCAAAGCATCGTGTTACTTTTAATTAGTCAGATTGAACATGATAACTTGGATTTGATAAGACACATATATGATGCCAAATTTCGTGTTACAATATCGAATATTTTGGTCGTGAGTTAAGAAAATCTTTTTAAAGATTTTGCGTGTTTACATGTTTTTATGTAGTACGTACGTAACGCGAGAAGACATTTTCGGATTAAATTCGAGATTAAACAGGCACATGCAATTGTGTGTTCCCAAAACTAAATTAATTAATGTTGATAATTGAGGTTGAGAGAAATCCACTTTTATTATGCATGTGATTATGTGATGGCTTAATTAATTTGATGATCTCAGTTTTTCAGACAAATTAGACAACCTAACTAAAGTAATCTTAGGTTGTCGGATTCGTTTTGCTAACGAACAAATTTCGATGATGTGATTAAGAAACGTGTTGAAACTTCTGTGGACATTGAAATAATGGTTATTCATCTTTCAGCGTAAGTTCATTTTCAGAAATTCTAATCGAATATTGATTTTTAGAAAATAAGTGAAATTCTAATGCAGTATTTTTAGCCGATAAACAGAACTCGTTAAAAATTTGATGATACGAAGTGTATTAATCATAACTTTTTTTACACAATAGTTTTGGGCTGCTTCAATAATGAATTAATCCGGATAAAATTGGGCTTAGATCTCATGTGGCACAGTCCACATGCTTTCTTCAAAACCTCAGAGATGATGTCTTCCTATTTTTTCTAAATTAACACAAAAAATTAGAAACTTGCAGAAAGAAAGGCCGTCACATGTGAGAGTACATAGCAAATGTCTCGCAAATAGTATAAGTGCAATTTTTCTCATTATTGAAACCATCCATGCATCATATTTACTGAACCAATTATTTACTAAGAATACAGGAGAAACTATCAACCCATTTTATTACCCTTTTTAGATGCTGTCAACCTACAGTCCAAAGTCCAAACCACCACCAAGGATTCTGTCAAATTCCGAAACTCTACCCTTGAGATTATCTATATTTACTTGGCATGGATGTTAGTATCAAACAACAGGTGATCCACATAATCTAAAGAGTTCATGACACAGATTGTTTACTAAGCAGTAATAGAAGCAGGACCAGTATCCTTAAAGAAGAACTTCCTCCGCGGCGTGTTGCTACCAACCTGGACACTTTGACCACGGCTATCATTGTTGCTTAGTTGAATCTTTTCGTCCTTGTCATTGTTTAGTTGAATCTTTCGGTCCTTGGAATTCAATTTCCCTCCTATATTTTTCCCTGCAAAGATGCCAATCTGTACTGCTGCAAAGAGGCCGAATGCAATTGCTAAAGGCCGTACAGACCAATGAAAATCCTCAACATGGTGGTACTTCTCCACTAGGCTAGGACATGTATCAAAAGAAACGAGCTCCACTTCTGCTGGATCGGCCATGAAACTGGGACATTCTCCTACAATAAACAGCAATCCTGGGAATTTAACAATCAGGCATCCATTTGGAAGTATTTGTGTTACTCTCCCAGTTGCCCATGTATCTCTCCCTTTTTGAGGCCACTTGAAGCGGGGATCCGTAACACTCGATTTCAACCTGACAAAGTTCCCAACAATGTATGGCTCTGTGACCCGGAGCTCTGAAGAATGCCCTTTCCAAAGGGTTTCTAGACCTAAGAACCCAACGGAAACATTTCCATCACGTTCTATGGAGTGCAAAATACCCACTGGGGAGTGTTTGTTGTTTTCCTCAATCAAGCAAACCCAATCCCCAGCTGCCAACCCAGAAGTTACCCTCTCGAGGGTTGAAACTTTCAACCTCAGGGGGCTCTGCAAATTAGGGATTCGGACAAGCACAAAACCATCTTGATCAGAGTCCTTTTCCAAACCAACAACAGTACCCTCTGCGACAGCCATAGTCTGAGGAGCATGAGAATCTGCTATCTTCCTTGAACGCACTGTGTCACCAATTTGAAGATGATCTTTCGAAAGTGACCATGAGGTATGACTAGGGATTGACTTATCTAAAAGAAGCGTACTCTTGAAACCAATCCATTCCCCATCGCTGGAAACAGAATCCAGTGATCTGCAAACATTCACAAAACACAAAACAGTTATAGAATCCCCATCTACCTAAGAAAACATACATAATCACATATAGTGTATGAATACATGCTCAATTCTACTTTTAAAAAAAATCCTTCCATCGATTAGGCGCGCATGAGCAATTTGACATACATAATGTTAAAAGTTTCAACATTTAAAAACAGAGATCAAGAAGTGAACCAAAAATGCTGGACATAGCGAAAGACACAACAACATTCAGATAAAAATGAACTGTGGGGGCCATAGTCTTAGCAAGAGTACTTGTGTTGAAATGAATAGAGAGAATAGTTCTATACTTCTACCGAAAACAACTTCAGTGAAAGGATAAAAGCCAACCTTTCAAATGCTAGTATTATATCTTGCATCAAAGGACGATTTCGGAGATCATATTCAAAACAACCATTAAGAATATGTTCAACCGCTGCAGGAACACCACTTGGAAGCTGTGGTTTTTCTTGATTGATCACAGTTGAATGATATATTTCAGCACTTGATCTCCGGAACCAAGGTGGAATACCAGTCAGCATTTCCACAACACAGCACCCAAAACCCCATGAGTCAGTCTCGCAGGTTAATGGCCCTCTCAGTTCTGGTTCCCACTGCTCGGGAGCCATATAATTTGGGGTGCCAAGTCTGAAAGCAAAATTTGAATTGACTGGAGGAATCCCAAGAAGCAGATACGGAATTCCAAAGTCACCAATAACAGCTTTTCCCTGATCATTCAGGAGAAAATTTGTTGGTTTTAGGTTCAACACCAAAAGTCCTATAGAATGCAACTCTTGGATACCTTTGACCAGTTCAATCCCGTACCTATAAAATATTGAAATTATCATAATCATCTACTGTAACATCAGATATTCTAAAGACAAAATGAAAAATGAATAAAATGTTCATCATTCACCTTAGCACATCAGGTAATGGAAGCTTTCCACCTTTCAAACGAGCCAGTACGTCACCAACTGATTTCTCGTAAGATTTCATAACCAGGCAGATCTATCAAGTACCCAAAATATAAATAAATGTCTCTGAAATTACATATGAAATGACAAGAACAACTAATTCCAGCTGAAACATTCACCTTTCCAGATATAATTGAAATTCCATGCAACCAACAAACACCTTGTAGCCGACGAGAACTGAAGTTGACCCAAAAGTCCTCGAACTTTTTGATAAACAGTTTTATGTTCTCTTCCTGTAGAGGATACAACATCTTCACGGCCACTTCATGATATTCGTCATAATCATCTCCTGACCGGTGATGAGTAGCCAACCAAACATCTCCAAATACCCCATGTCCTATCCTGTACTTAAGCTTCAATGAGTTAGGTTCAATATAAGGACTGGGCTGATTTGGCGTGGCAACAACTGTCCTAAGATGTTCAGGATCTCCTTCATAAAGCTCATAATCAAAAGCATTGCTAGGTGATGATGCTTTGGGCAGTTCTTCCATTTTATGACTGCAAGTTGGAAAAAATATACCGGATCAAGAATATTCTGCCGAAATCTTTAGAACTAGAAACCAAAAGTGTGATTACCGTTAAGCAATCAATTCATCAAACTACATCCAGGAAATGAATATTAGTCAGAGAAGTAAGCATACCACGCAAAAAGCAACACACAAAAAGCAAGCAAGATAGCAACTTTTAATATAATTTGGATACCTCGATAAGCACTCCTATTTAGCAGCACTACTAGAGCGATAATTGAACAGGAAATCCATATTCAAAACTAATACATTCTTAAGAGAATTGGTACGTTCAAAAGATGTTGCTCTTGAAAGAACTAAACAGCAAGAGAGGTAGTGAGAGGTTATCAAGCAAGAAAATCAATGTTAACTACATTGGAACAGAGCATAGAAGAATAGAGCAAACTTTTTCCAAAACCTTTTTCTGGGAAAAGTAAAAATGAGCGGAGACACCATTTCTAACTGCAGAACCGTCAAAAGCAACTCCAGAATTCCATACAAAACCTCAGCCTCAAGTATGTCACTTGACAACAATTACATGGAAATATCCTTATATTTGATCACTTGGAGCAGCAATCAGAAAAGAGATACAAAGAAACCAGCAAAAGGGTTCTTCAGTTAGACACAACAGTTCAATTCAATTAAAAAAACAATCTTCCTGCTGGTTTCAACTTGAATTTCAACGTTTCACAACTCCAATCAGCATATAAAGATCGAATTTAAATCTCATCACCATAAACCGTGAAACCGCGGTCTTAAACAAAACTTTGAAACTGATCACATAAAAAATAAAAAATAAAAAATTGAAATTGAAATTGAAACCTCTGAAACTAAAGGGTATTTTTTTTACCTGTTTAGAGATAAAAAACGAAGCAGAGTCGACGAATAGAGATTATGTAACTTCACACAAAACCCAAATTAGTTTGGTATAAATCGAATTAAAGGAATCAAAAATACTGATAAGCTCCCGATAGTTGTTCAAGAAGAAAGTGGGCCGTCTTCTTTCTCACTACTTTCTCTTGCTGTGTTCTCCAAGAAGCAAGACCGTCATGCCGCCACGTTTGATAGCGCCAGCTTTTCTACCAAATTAATAAAACTAAAAAAATTAAGGGAATTAAAATGATACTACTCCTATTTTACCAAATTAAGGGAGTAATAAATATACGAAGGAGCGACAAAAACGTAAAATAAAATACACGAAGCCGGTGAATTCACAGAATTGTGTACCCATTTTTTCTGGAGTGGAAAAAAAAAAAGAAATTCTCTTCACTAAATAATAGGGGGATAAATTTTCATTTTTGCCTTCCTCCTATTTTTATTTATTTTATTTGTGTTGAAACATTTTCAGTATTTTTTTTATTTTTTTTTGTGGTGATTTTTTCCCGAAAATTTTTTGGAAGTTTTGTATGTTAGTAGTATATTTTTTGGTAGGTAAGGATTTGATTATATTATTTTCCCCCTCCTATAATAATGTACTACTTTGTAAATGTATTCTGTGACGCAAAAAGTACGAAAATATATCATCCGCAAGCAGTAAAATAATTAATTTATGCATTTTTCCCTACCTTAATTTTAATATACACATTTCTTAAGTTGTAACTAATTTAGTACCAAACAGTTGACATTCATTCAGTTGGGAAGTCTGTTAAGTCCTTTGTTGCAACTAAAAAACTCCTAATTATTATACACTGCATTCGATTGCAGAATGCCTCCTTAGGAAGATATGATTTACAGAAATTTAAGAATAATTTCATCAAAAAATTGTAAAGGAATTTCGCCACATTACTTAAGTTTGTGCCTTCTGGCGTGATTAGTTAGATGATTAAAGAATGTAACTTAATTATCGGTCAAACACAGTATATTGGTGCAATAGTTAAATTTCAGAATTATTCCTATTGTAAATTATGTTGATTTTCATTCCAGGGAAAAAAAAAAAACTTAGGTGTTGTGTTCCCGAATAGTTAAACTCGTGACATTTATTTTTTGTAAGTATAATCATATCATACAAAAATTATCCTCTATAATATACTATCATAATAGTTTTAATTAATCTACATCGTTATAGTTTAAATGATTTTCCGTTACAGGTACGGTATTTGAATAAAGGCGATCGTAAATTGATGGACATTGGAACGAAAACCTTCAAATGCCGATTGGTAAATGTCGACAGTATATAATAATCTTATAGTATGAGACATTGAAATAATTTTGAAGGAATTATATATGATGTTCAAATAAATTCTACGCCAAAGAAAAAAAAGAAAAGAAAAAAGCTATCACTGAAATTTGTACTCCCTTCGTCCCATAATTATTGTCCAGTTTGAGTTTTCATTTCTAATTCAAATTATACTAAAAGTGAAATCTCAAACTGGACAATAATTTTGGGGCAGATGGAGTATATATTTAAGTCTAAGAGTTGATTCCCCTAATGTTGGCATTTGAACAAGGAAAATAGTATCCCCAAAGATCCAACCAGATATTTAACAGGTTTATATAAGTCGTTTCATATCTTGTGCCATAACCAAGCTTAGCTCCTGATCTTTTAACAAAAAGTAGAACTTGCCATGGTTGAAGATTGGATTAGAGTAGGACACATTTGATACCAACAAGACATGGATGGCGAGTCTGAGTCAATGTAGATTTCTGTCCAAGTTTCTTCACCGTGGGAAATTTGCTGTGTGTGAGTTTGTAGATGAGAAAGTTGTTGTTAAAAATCAGGAGCTAAGCTTGGTTATGACACAAGATATGAAACGACTTATATGAACCTGTTAAATATCTGGTTGGATCTTTGGGGGATACTATTTCCTTGTTCAAATGCCAACGTTAGGGGAATCAACTCTTAGACTTAAATATATACTTTCTATATCCCAAAATTATTGTCTAGTTTGAGATTTCACTTTTAGTACAATTTAAACTATAAAAAAAAACTCAAACTGGACAATAAATATGGGACGGAGGGAGCACGTGTTTCCAAGTTCGATAAGACAACCTCCAAATGGATTGATGTGGATCATATCGATGGTCGTGTCTTCTTTCTCAATGATGCATCCTCAATCTCATGCATTGGATCAAAGTTTGGTCCCAAGAAAAATTGCATCTACTTTACCAAGCCCAAAGACTGCAATTTATACACAATACTCCATGGAAAAGGATAGGATACACTCATTGAAGCCTTGTCCAATGGCGGTCAACCAACAGGCAAAAGCTTTCTTTGTTAAGGTTCAACCATAAAAGTTTATAACCTCGTGTCCCTCCAGAGTTTATTGTTGGTTGTATTAATTATTTATAGTTTTACTGCTCTTTCTTTCAAGAGTATACAAACAAATCACAATTATGCCACATTCATGTTCTATCAAGCACATTGCAATCACATTTCATGTTGTGAGATATGGCTTCAAGTTTTATTAATATATATATATATATATATATATATATATCTTACTATATTAGAAACAAAAATCACACTTTAGAGAAAGCACCACCATTTGCCATGTGACATTTCCACATTATATTTTTAAAATAAATTTTTATTTACACATCTCCTAAACTTAAAAGGCAAATGCAGTCCAATCCACCTTCACTTCTTATTTTCGCCAAAAAAAAAAAAACAACCACGTATTCATAAAAAATTCAAATCCTCATTCCAATCTCCACGACAATCGACTTCCTAATCAATCCCTTCTCCACAATAAAAAAATAAATAAATTTCTCATCAATCATCAATTAAGAATATGTGGTGAAATATACTCATTTCCTATTAGTATGTTAAATTTTTTCATTAGTGATGATCAACTACATCCTAATCTGATAAAATTTCGAGTTCAAAAAATATTCTCTTTATCTCACTATATAAAACAAAGGAAAAAAAACTCATTGATCTTGCTTCGGCCATTATGGTGATGCCATTATAGGTATTAAAGTTTAAACGATTTTATTTCCGCAGATCATTTGTTTGGATTTTATTATTTTTTGTTTTTCTCGTTCAAGAATAGTGTTATTATTATTATTATTTTTATACGTCCATTCGTTATAGCTACCGTAACCGTTGTCAGGTAATATAATGTGATTTCTTATATGATTAATTAGTCTAGAATTTTTGTATGATTTTAGTTCTGTTTGGATTGAATTGATTAATTGGGTTTTTGTTACAAAGTGTGATTTTTTAAATTTCTTTTTTATGTTTTATTCAATTAGACTGGTTTTCTTTTTTTAATTATGGAGTCTAGGTTTTTTTTCGTACATGGTCAGTTATGAAATGTGTGTTTTTTCTTTGTTTAATTGCTTTTGATTTTGTTTCATACTCCCAGTTGACCAATTATTATTATTATTATTATTATTTTATTTACAAATGAAGCGTTTTTTTTTTTTTGTGTGTTCGGTCTTTCAAGAATATACTTTTTTGGATTTGGTTTTTGAACTTTTTTAGTTCCTCATCATATAAATAGTTTAGGTCGCTTCTTCTAACTAATTTATGGGGAAGCTTTTTATGAATTTGAGGTGGAGAGGGAAGGAATGATTTTTCTACGTTTATTTGTGTTTTTATACATCAATTTTATCTACAGAAATTTCTCAATTTTTAATGGGCTATCTTTTACTTTCTTTTTTTTTTTTTTTAATTTGCCATGGTGAGATGAGTTCTTTTTTGCTATAACTTGAAACCTATGTAAATTTACATTATTTTCATTCTCATATTTGTGATCAACTAGTTTCAACAATTAACCATTTTTAAAATCATATTTTTGATATTTTACTACCTATAAACTTTTGAAAGAAATAGTTTCAACAATTAAGCGCATACCCTTTGGAGGAAGCTTACTACAAAACTATTATAAATCTCCAAAACTAAGTATTGATTTGGCGCAACCAATGGAGAACATAAATAAATTATCTTACTAATATTTAAACTTATGAGGATGCTTTTATATTTTGTCTTGCATTTACTTCAAGACATATATTTGATCAAGTTTATTTATATTTAAGAAGTAACACTTATAAAATATTTTTAAAATCTTCAAACATTTCTAAAACGTACCGGGCCAAATACAATTTCTTTTTATGCCAAATACAAACATTTCTATGATCACACTTATAAAACATTTCTAAATTCTTCAAACATTTCTAAAATATATCGGCCTAAATACAAAATAATTTTTTTCCTAGATACAAATATTTCTAAAATCTACAGATATATTGGGCCAGGTGTGCGACCAGACATCACTAGTATATATATATATATATATATATATATATATATATATATATATATATATGGATTAAAAAGTAGAACACACGCATACGCGTGCATGTATTCCCCATATTGATGAGCTCTTTTGGGATAGAAATGGAAGTCAACAACAAGAAGTTTTTCCTCCCCAAGTAAGGTTGGGTATATGAAATGTCGCCATCATACTCGATCAAAACACAATAGGGAGATGATTCTGCCAAAACAATAAGTAGCATCCAAGGCAAAAATAACTTTTCTTTCCAAAAATACCCCTATGAAAGTTGTTTTCCTCCTCCACTGACAATAATCAATACAACAAGTCCACAACACAAGTGCGTTGCTCTGCTCCAGCAAGTCTCCAACCATAACTGCAATTTACAAATACATTAGCTCAATTGGAAATTAATGCATAATTATGCCAAATTGTTTAACATCGTCGTAATTACAGAGTTGCTTGAACTTCATATAAACATCACAGAAATTGCTCCTGCAACTATACCAGAAATTCACAATGAAGTCCTATAGAGATTGCCTCACATATGTAAAATTTAATCAATCCAGGTTGAGGAGACCTCAATGCCTATAGAAATTCACAATGAATGCTTTTCTGAAATCCCGTTGAACCATTGAAATCCTGAATGTTAGATTACAGGCATACCAAAGACTAGAGTAGAAATGCAAAATATTGACAACGAAAAATTGCAAGGAGCATTGATGTCCTTCACCCAAAAATCACTTATCGGCCACTTATTTGTCTTGCTTAAACCCAATTTTAAAAATTTGGATACCACTAACCCACCCTCACGAGTCACGCCCCTTCACCCAAAAAAAAAAAAAAAGGAAGAAAAAAAACTTAGATGCTGGGTGTGAAAATTTGCATATCAAAGACTCTGAAATAACCAAACCCACAAATCAATAATGGGAATTAAATCAAAGAGCTTACCCACCCAATCAATCTTTATTGTTGACTTTTGTTTTAGAAGATAAAAACATCAATTTTGCCCAAAAAAACCTCGATTATTGTTTCTGAGAATAGCCTCAAAATAATTCTGAAATATGCTCTAAGATTAAATTAAAAAAAAGAAAAATATTATCGACAAGAGAGGGGAGAATATTTAGTGTTGTGTTGCTTGCCTCCAGTAAAAATAATGAAATTTTTATTGTAACTGCCACATAGGGTAGAAAAAAATACAGAAGTGAGGAATGTGGTTGATCGGAGAAAGAAACACAGAAATGTGGAAGAAGATAGATTCGGAATCATGAGAGGGCAACAACGTCAATTTTGCTCTGGATGCTAAAAAGTGTCCTGGCAAAATCACTTCCCAACACAATATATTGGATGAAATGGAATACTAACATTTAAAATTTTAAATACTGGCTTTCTATCTTTGAATAAGGAATGAAGCTCAAACACGTACATTGAATAGATAATTATTACATATATATGTTCGGGTTTGGCACCAAACTGCAATTATGTGTTCCTTCTCTATCCAAGGAAAATTACAAACTACAAATTCATTAGGATACCACATAATTTGCTTTGATTTTTAAAAATTTTTGATATATGAAGATGCAATGCCTCCAACTATGATCAAACAGGTAAAAATATACGGCGGGGCTACTCAAAAAACGAGAACAACAAAAAAAGTGCAAAAATAGCTTAATTACTTTAAACGTTAGTAGCCTGAGATTTCCCCGAACTATTTTTATTTTTTTTAAAAAAAAGAATTTCACATGTTAAGTAATATATTCCCTCGGTTCCAAAAAAAATTTATTTTTTTGATATATTACATATCCGATGTCCAAAATCATTGCTCCTACATACAAGCACGGGAGACGTTTGTAAGCCTATCAAATAGCCAATACAAATATGGATCAACAACAATCCGACGCAAAGTGACTTAGCACTCTAAAATGATAAAAGCGAACCTTAAAATTATTGTCTTGAACTGAGAAAAATACTAGATTTGTTAACTAAACCGATATAACAATGTGCACTATTAAATTGTTTGAAAAGGAATAGTACATGTTTGATTATTTTGTTAAACGATACTGTCAAGAGCTAAAGTGCCAAGTGTAAACTTCTCGCGGAAAATGAGAAGTCTTTCTAGATATTTGATAGATGTCAAACCAACAAAAATAAATTAACGTACTCTTAACAGATTTAATAGTATAGTGATAAGTAGAGTTATCTCCTCAGGGAGCAAGTAAGTGACAATATTTCTAATTAAAAGCAAAGTAACTAGGATGGTTGTTTTCAGATTTGTAACTAGTGAATAACAAAAATAAATTGCAAGTAATTAAATGATTTTCGAATAACAATAATGAGAGAAACTCTAGCCAAAGGAATAATATCCGCCTTGATGTGTACAATTGATTATTGATGCAAAGATTGACTTAACAAATTATGAATATATTTGTTATCATTGTTGGAACCTCCTAACAACTCATTCTTTTTAATTAAGCACCAGCGATTAAGAAACCTTCATAACCACTCTTTAGAAAAAAAACACTATCTGGAGCCTCATAGGACTTTGTTTTTGACAATCAAAGACCCAATTCAACTTCTAAATAAACAAACCTTGCTTAGATAAAAATTGATTATTTATTCTCACAATACAATGAAACTACTTACCAAGCAATTAATTGTATTGTTATTCTTAGGAACAGACAAATTTTGTTGTTTAATAAATTAGGTTACCTAGAAAAAATTGAATGCTACCAGTTATTCAACTAGTGCCAAATAATCAACCATACAAACCAAAGAAAATAAATAAATATTCACAATTAGTAAATATATACAAGCAATTAGATCTCACAATTAAAGTAATATCAAGAATTCAATAATCCTTCAACTAGAAAAAGAGTTTAGCTACTAATCTTATTAGAATCAATAGCAAAAGATAGTTAACATTACAGAGGTAGCAGAGAAGAAAACCAATAGAAATCTGTCCTTTCGGAGCTTCAGATTTGCGTTGACTGCTCTCCCTCTTCTTGGTCTTGGTTTGACCGAATTTTCCGCTCTATTATAAGGGAGGATGGCTGAAAAACTCCTAATAAGTAGGAGAAGAAATATGCTATAATATATTTTTCCTATTTTTACAAGGTAATTTTAAGATTTGACTCTTTTGACAACTCATCTCTTAACTAGCAAGAAAACGAACATAGACCCTTTTATAGACTCAAAACATCTATTTAAGGAATAGAAGTAGCCTCCAAGTAAAAGATTACTTCTTTAGAAAAAATCGCCTATTTAAGTGTGAACACAATTTCTTATGGTAAACCTTCCTTTTTGAGTGTGAAAAAGATTGTTTGACTTCTTCCTAAAAAACAAGAATTTACAACTCAAAAAACGTGGGAAATAAACAATTAATTCGTCCAAAACCGCTGCTGCCTGTCAAGTTTCCCAAAATTTTAGTTTGGCCCCTAAAGGTTTTAGAAATTATATTTTACCCTAAAACTTTCTTAATTTAATAATTTAGTCCCTGATCTAAATTTCCAGCTTGCTCTTCAACATGATCACATGCTATATCAACTCCGCTTCTGTCCTTGAGCATAAATCTCTTCCAACATCAACATTTTTTCATCCTTTTCATCCAAAGTACCTCTTGTGATCAAATTAAGCACAAAACACCAATATTAGCATCGATACTATTTAAAATAACACATAAATAACCATAAATATTACGCTAATATCGACCTTATCAATATCCAAGTGATCCGAGTAAGCAAGCTTAGAAATGCAAAACAGATAACCTAGTGAAAGAAGAAAAGCAAGGGACTTCATATTACTACTAGTATGGAAAGAATAATTAAGGAGTCAGTTTGAACTTTGAAATACAATGAGCTTACAGAGTTTCATTCCACTCGCTACAACATTGGGAGATTACATAGTCAAGCCATACTCTTTCAATCAAGTTAATTAGCAACAATAGAAGAGGGCTTCCGGCAATTTAATGATCCCAAGAACAGACAAATTTCTGAACACCAAACCACAGTAAATTTAGCCGTCAAAATATCTGCTACTAGCTAGGAATCATGTGAAGTATAAATGGAAAGCTAGGAACCCAATGAAACCTAATTATGATAGATTTTTTTGTGTGAAATTAGTCCTTACAATAGCATCATACGGGGCTTGTGGAAGAAAATTTTTTAACTAAACTTATAAAAGATTGAAAAAGATGGAAAAAGGTTTTCCCAATACTGTTCTGTAATACTCAGACTTGTGGTAATGCAACATAGTGTACTATCATATTAAGACACTTTCTGTCCTAAAATGATTTTTCAGTTGGCGATTACTTTTCTAGTACAATTAATTTCGAGACAGGACTATTAGTATCTATCTCAAAACCAAACAAAAGCTAATTCTCTACTCCATTTAGATTTGTGGATTGGCAATTCTTTTCTCTACCCTTTTTGTACTGCTCGATAGACAATTTACTATGATACGGTTTATTCGCCCACTTAGAGTAAAGCCGATCGCTGAAGGAAACCTAACGTCAACAATCGTTGAATTCTAAAAGCAATCTTGTGCGATCACTATAGTTAGACAATGAAATAAAATACCAAGGTTTTATAAACAAACTATTCCTCAATAGGATTTCATTTTATTTGTTTTCTTTTCACAACAAGCTGATCACAAGAAATTTGTTTATTCTCATCGATCCTTCAACTCTATCATCATCTCCCAAGGTGGAATCCAAATTTCAAAACCAAGCGAGTGTTCTATTGTTACGATCTTTCTCGGGCTCCATCCAACAGCAGTGCAATTGTAGTTCCGTATCATCAAAACTATTACTTGAAAAGCCATCCTTTCCAAACGTATGATACAACTTATCTTCCATAGAATAAAACACCCAATTTCCCTCGCGGCGTATCGGAAAGTATATCTTATTCTTCATAAACTCTCTGTCACTCCGCTTAGCGAATGATGTCGGTTCACTACAGAATAACATGTACTCTCCCAAATCATCAACGTCTGTCCAACTGTTTGTCGAATGATCCCACTTAAAAACTGAGATACGATACCCCATCGCGGATACAAAAACAGACATAAGTTCGCCATCAAAATCCATCAAATAACTCTCGTATGTTTCTCTACGTCTTGATATGAATGAAGGTTGAGGTGATATTACTAACCACTCTCCCTTATCGGGATCAAAAACTCCCAATTCACCGTATCTAGCCAAGCAATAGAACTTACCATTGTGGAAGATTGGGTTACAATAAGATGGAAACATGGATGGACGTACCGAATCAAACCTAAACACTTTCCAACTTTCTTCCCCGCGAGAAATTGTTAGAATCTCATACCAATCATCCAAACATGAGCGAAGATAAAATACCCTACAATCCTTCGAACGCGGATTTGATGCGAAGGTAACTCCCTTGCGAAATAAGTTACAAACGGGAGGCAAGTTAGGCAAGTCGATTTTGGATTGGGAGAATGGATGGAAGAAAAACAATTGAAAGTTATGTTCTTTTCTTATGTGCCTCTCTAGCGAAATACTGTATGGAGTAATTTATCTGGATTAGTCGATATTCAGTTCTACCATTCATTGTGTATTCCTGTTTTAAATTATAGGTGTGTTAAGAAATACGAATTCTGTGTGTGTGTGTGTGTGTGTGTGGGTGGGGAAGCATATTCTCTCATTAACACTACAATTCTAGAAACTGTATTGTGGATGCTTTGCATCACATGTACCAAAATAAACCACAAATAATACACTCAATAAAAGTTTGGAAAATACAATTTTCCTGCCATGTACACACTAACACACGTAAATCAGTTTCCAGAAAGAAATATTTTTGTATTGGTTTGCTAGACTTCGACTTTCTCAATTTCCTCTTGTTGTTCTTTGACTCCTTCGGCTCTTTTATGAACTTCTTTCTCCTCAGATATGAAGTCTGAGCTATCTTCAGCACCTGATAAGCCATCGTTGAAATCAGCAGGCTTGGTGTTGTTGAACATGTCATCATTTTCTAGAGCAACGAATTTCTCTTTTGATTCACCTTTTAGCAGCTCAACAACCTCGAGCATTGTAGGTCTCTTCTCAGGTCGATTGTGAGCACAAATGAGAGCAACAAAAACCACCCTTTTCAATTCTTCTTCCACGAAAACACCTTTGAGTTTCGGATCTGCGATTTCACTGAACCTTCTCTCACATGCCAAAGGTAGGGCCCAATCTATGATCGTACGCTTTGTTGTAGGATTAAGCTTTTCGATAGGTTTCTTACCGCTTGCAAGCTCAAGTAAAAGAATGCCAAAACTATAAACATCACAGCTTTCTGATGCTTTTCCCAACATAGCATACTCTGGTGCAAGATAGCCAAGCGTGCCTTTAACTCTTGTTGTTACATGTGTGGCACCATCAGGGATTAACTTTGCGAAGCCAAAATCAGCCACTCGAGCTTTGAAATCTGAATCAAGTAATACATTACTGGCTTTCACGTCTCTGTGGATAATGTGTGGAGTTGCATGGTGGTGAAGATAGCTGGGATACAGTAAAAAGTTAGCATAATGAAATCTAAACAAGATATGAGTTTTAATTACTACTTAATACTTACGTGATTCCCTCAGCAGAACCAATTGCTATGTCCATCCTTCTCTTCCAATCTAGAAGGCACTCGGTTGAATGTTGCCCATGAAGATGAGAAAGTAAGCTTAGATTAGGCATGTAATCATAGACAATCAACCGTTCTTGTCCCTCGGCACAATAACCACGCAAACTTAACAAATTTTCATGCCGTACTCGAGCCAGTATCTCAACCTCCACGGCGAATTCCATCTCTGCTTTGTTGCTCCAAACCTTTAATCTTTTGACGGCTATCTACAAAAGATGCATAAAGATAAATCCAGACATATTTTAGTTGCACAAGTCATAGTCGCGAAAGAATCTAGATCAAGAATCAGCTAAACAAATAATGTGAACTACAATTAATATATTCAGGGTCAGTTTGTCCAGAAGCACAGCCTCCAAAGGATAGGTTGACAAGATATCAAGGAAAACTGCAAAACAGAAAGTATGCTTGCATTGTTTTCACAATTTATAATACGTCAGAGATTTCCTGAACTTCATAGATTTCAATTGTAGAGTTGAGGTTCAATATGTTCACTCAACAACAAAGACATATTCCTATATCCCATTTATCTTATAGAGCACTAATATTCCAACGCTTCAGGAACATATCTACATGCTTACAACATAAGAATGTTCAATGTTGAAATTAGAAGAATGCTACGACTACCAAAGATAAAAGGCAGATTTTACCAATTAGCACAAAACACTAGTGCCCAAGTAAAGCATCCTAACATACAAATAAATCATTTTCTTACTAGTAAAATTGCAACTGAACAGAAGAGTCTCTTTAAACAACAAATGAAAGGCACAAAAGAAGCTCAGTGTGATTTTACAGTTACTTCATTATTGAAGCATACAAACTGGAAGATTGTAGTAGTTAGCATCACTTCTTAGGCAAAAATAGCTCTAGGGATGAGAGGTTATTTGACTACAGACTTAATTTCATGACAAACAAACTTCCCTACAAATGTTTCAGCAACAGATTGTTAGCTAAGTGAGGGAAAGAAACTATTTTGAGGAGGCAGATCTGTTGACAGAGCAGCGGATTTCTGACATATGTAAGCTAACAATTGCACAATACATAAGAAAATAATGTTTGAGTCTTCAGTTGGTACGTACAAGTAAAACTAGCCTATCTTGTCACCTCAAAGTTCAAAAACTAATCCAGGTGACAATGTAGGATATTCATTTCAGCATCATCAGCCTAACTTTAACTGAACATCACTAGTCTACAGTTGACAAAGATCAAGCATGCATGATTGTCTACGCTATTAACAATTAGGTCATGAAGGGAAATAACTTTTTGATGATTTCAACTCTTTGGGACCTTTCGTAGTTCTTATCTAGCCCTTCTCTACTTTTTGAGAGACAGTATCTGGTTTACCAATTCTGAACTAATAATGAAACTCAAGATAAGGGCAACAACTGCAATTATTAGCTTATTGCATTTGATTAGTTTTCTACATCAAGATTACATCTTCCAAGGTACTAAATGTAACAGCACACATACTGCTAGTATCACAACGGCAGCATATCTATCACTACGTCTTCTATTTTAGATAATATCCTTACATCCTAGAGTACCATTCAATTACCAACTGCCTAAGGTCAATTAGACGGATGAGTAAACTTACTCGCCAATGTTAACTGAAATATATCAAAAATTAGGAACAAAAAAAATTCAAGAACTTTACCTGGGAACCATCCCACAATTGGCCCCAGTATACACTGCCAAATCCACCTTCTCCAAGCTTGTTGTCATAATTGAAGTTGTTGGTAGCCGAGTGTAACTCTTTTAATGAAAAAATCCTCCATGTTGACTGTTTCTTTTTGTCCTTCCTGTACAATTTCATTTCCAATAAGAAAACAACTAAAAAAAACTAAAACACAATGAAAATATTGAATTCTGCTATCCAATTTAACCTCTTAATAACAATGAGAACTGTGCATCTTAATAACAGAAGAACTGTGCATCATCATATATCAGCAGTGAACTAATTTAAAATCAAGTCTACTCTGTGCAGATTACAGAAAGAGCTGCTTGCAAGAGATTAATGGCAATTCCTCCCAGAAAACAAAATGAGTCAGCCCTTTTTCAGGAGCAACCTAGGCCACAATAACAAAATATACCACTGGGCACATAAAAAATAGTTCCCATTTCCTAAATCCACAACAACCTCCAAAGTCCAAACATAATATCAAACAAACTTAAATTCAACTCAATAATGTCCCGATGCAACAGAATCAAAGAACATCAATTGAAACCATAACTAGAAGCTACCTCAAATACCAACAACAATGATTGAAAGAACTTACCGATCAAAAGCTTTAATGCAGCAGAACATCGAAGAGAAAGTCATCCTCCCAAACCTAAACAATCCAATTAGCCGCCCACTTTCCTATCTATTCAATCACTTCGATCTCTTCTAGAAGAAGACCCTTTCAGAAATCGTAAAAATCCAATCTTGCAAAAAGCTAAAAACACACACACACCAAAAAAAGCACCATCACCCATAAAACCTTTCTTCCAACAGCTGCAAGTTCTAACCACTCCCACTTTGAAACATGAATTCAACTTCTATCAAAGCCCAAAAAGAAAAATTTGAACTTGTGGCACAATTCCTCTGCCAAGCTAATAGTGTCTTCAGATCAAAGCAATTCCTTCTTTTTTTGTTTCCTTTTAATTCGATACAAAAAAATAACAAGCTTGCCGGATAGAATTTGAAAATTAAAAAACTAGGCGCAGACCAAAAAGGGTTGAGCTTTAGGTGAGAAAAAGAGAAGAAGCCTCCCACTCAAAAACGTAAAAGGTTTTAAGTAATGTAAATGTGGGGTTAGCAGCTGGATGATGACAGAATCAAACAGAGAAAAAAAAAAAAAGAGTGAACAAGAGAAGACTCATGTGCTAAAGGCGAATGTCGTGCAAATTGCTCACTGATAATAAAGTAAGTAATCAACAAATACCATTATCGATGTAGTAACACTGTAACAGTAGTAACAGACTACTAACAGTGCCAATTGGACTTTTTTTGGTTGCTCGTTTTTACGTTACTTGACTTTTTTCTTTTTAATTTCCTTTGATTCCTTTTCTGGAGTGGGAAACGGGCCGCCTGTTAGATATTTGAAATTTATTACTCCCTCCGTTCCATAATTATTGTCCAGTTTGAGTTTTCATTTTTAGTTCAATTACTCCCTTTGTTCCAAAATTATTGTCCAGTTTGAGATTTCATTTTTAGTACAATTTGAACTAAAAATGAAAGCCCAAATTGGACAATAATTATGGAACGGAGGGAGTAATTGATTAATGGAACTTGAGCAGGTTTTTTGGACATTATTTTGGAGAAAATACAATATTGATTTTTTTTGTTATGTATTACACTATTACTATTTACTACTCCATCTCCATCCGATCTTATTTATAACTTTACATTTTGATTTTTTTTTTTTTTGGCATGTGGCATTCTGACTCAATTTTCCACCAGAAATTTACTTTTTTATATATATATAATTGTCAAATTTAAAATTTTTTATATAAATTTTAGTAAAATTAAAATTTAAACAGAATAATAATTTTAGGACATACTGACGTGGATTTGGCATTTAACCAGTAATGGAAACATTTCATGGGTCTGTAGAATATCAGCACGGGCACTTTAAAAAGAAAAGGTGATAAATGCAAGGAAAATTTAATTTCAAAAAAAAAAAACAAAAAGAAAAAGGTGAAAAATTTTGGAATGTCCGAAACGAGATTTATATCTGCTGAACCTGGTGAAAATATAGTTTTATGAGTGATTGATCGAATCCTATATCAAGGAATAATTGTATTTGTTTAGAAATTAATTGGACTATAAAAGTAAAACAAGAAAACCAATACAACAAAATTTAGGGCGAACTACATTTAATCCGCCCCCGTTTTCGCCTAAACTACCATAAATCCCTCAAGTTTTAATAAGACTACCATATACCTCTTTGACTCATAGTCAACCTACCCCTAACAATACTAACATCATTATCAAATTTGTGTAAACGGTCAAAAGTACCCTTCAATCTAATTTTTTAAATTATCGAATTTAAATATTTTTAAAAATATATATAAAAAATTAAGCTAAAAAATACACCATGTTAATTTTTTTATATTAATGTACTTAAATAATAAACTTTTGAATTTAACTATCTCATATCTTTTGAAAAAAAAAATTATCTTAATAAACTTTTATTTTTTTGAAGTATAATAAACTTATATTATTAATCATAAATTGATTTTTATTTATAAACTTGTGTTATAATTAAATGTAGAAATTATAAATTAAGTCATTTTCATTTTTTATGGTAAAAAAACGAAGCAAATCAAACCGAAAGAAAAGAGAAGAAAGTGAAGTGTATTAAACCATTGTTATTTTTGTCATTTCAATGTTTAACCCCTATTTAGAGAGTATATGGTAGTATTACTAAAAGTCGGGAGTTTTATGGTAGATCGGAGCAAAACTCGGAGGTAAAATGTAGTTCACCCTAAAATTTATGATTTTTTCCGGACACTTATATGCCAAAAGAGCATAAGCAAAAGGGTTTAAGTTATCGATTATAAAAAAAAATGCGAAACGTCCTTTCTTCAATTTATATCATGGCCCTAATTTAATATTTTGGTTGGTACTTTGGAGATAAAAGAGACATAACTAAGCTTGTATATTTAATTGGATAAAAAATTTGATAGCAATGGTCACGAATCATGATGATGAAGCTCCGAAAAAGCACCTAACTTTCAAAGGGTCGGTGCACAATATGGAATAGATGACACGAAAACAATGTGGATGCGTCCTCTTTCTTATAGTTTCTTTCTTCATCATCTATTGCCTTTTTGCATCCATTGTTGAAAACTTTGCATAAGAACTTCATGATATTCACCAGTTTGAATGCCGTTTGACATACATATTGTATTATTTTAAAAGAATGGACCACTCAAGAATTGATCGTCGGCCCATGATAATTCGTATAGCATTTTCTTCCTAACAGTAGCGGATCTAAAATAAATTTACACTGGGGCCATAAATGTATTAGCGAAAAAATAGATATTATTATTATTTTTTTTATCACCATGAATGTTTCTATATTAGTGAAATTTTGTAAGTATTTTCACAGTATATAATATACGCATATTAAATTTTGTTTTTTTAACATATAAATTAAATTAGATAGATATACATTCAAGAACTACACATTTAAAAACTCTTTCTACAGCTATTAAATCGATAAGCAAAATCAAAGCTAACATTTTTTAATTAAAAAATTTCAACAAAATACCTATAAGCACGAAAGAAAAAAAAATGTTCATGCATCTTTTTGAACACACGATCAGTATATATGTTATGACCATTTGTTACCTAAATTTATGCATTATACATAATTAAAATTTATATAACTTGCAACTTTATTTGATTTTTTTTAATCAATCACCTACTATTACAGATTAACTTTAAACGTTGACCATTTAATCAATCCAAAATACAATTAAGAGAAAATAAATTAAGCAAAACAAATTCTTGTAAGAATAATACAAAATGTCATTATTTATTGTGCAAAATTTAATTAATTATTTATTTAATTAATTAAAGTTAAATAAAATGTATATATAATGTATTGTCTAGAGTGAGGGCCAAGGCCCCCATAGCCCCCATCCTAGATCCGCCCCTGCTTCCTAATATAAATTACTAATCCTCATACCGATTATTTGAGATGTGTACTTTCTTCATTCCAAAAATGATAATCTGACGGTGGTGAAAATAAAATATTTAATCACAACAATTATTTTGAGGTGGTGAAATTGTATAATCCAGCTATCCAAGAAAGAAAGTAGTACAAAGAAAATCAAAGTCAGAAAGGACAACTTGGAAAGTGCCGATAAATAGAGGCAGGGTTGGAAAAAGTCGTTGATGGAACCAAGTGGCCACTTTTAACCTAGTCACTGAGAATTAGTTAGCGATCGTATTCGACAATTCCAATCGTTTGAGAGCGAAGTAGAACTGCAATTATCAATTAATATGGTTTAATTACAAATGAAAATGTGCTGTTTGTGTTTGTGCCGGTTGATCCTTTCGGAGAAGAGGAAATATACAGTGAATCATGTCCAAGTCCAACACATCAGTGGTTGGTTGAGTTTCAGATGAATGTGTAGTACTTCATTATTGGAAGGTGCTTATTTGACATAGTCTTTAGATTCGTTTGAACCATACCAAAAATGTTTGAGTACACTGGTTAAATCAGGTCCGATAAGCAAATTTTATTTTTTTTTCGAATTGGTATAAGCAAATTAAAGATACATGCATTTTAGAGTGACCAGTTTATATAAAATAAATATTCACATTTGTTTGCATATGTTATAATATTACTCATTTCGTGTTAAAATGCGTGTTTTGTTTGAATTTTCACTTTACGTGTAAAATAGTTATCTTGAGATAAAGAGATAATATAAATAAAACTATGGTGTCTAGTTAATTGACTCGCACTTGGTACTAGTTGGTATATGTAGGAACATCCCCAAATTAATTATTGATGCTTATAGAAACTTATGGGGTTCTACCTCAAAATCAATTGGCTCGCAGTTGGTACTAGTTGGTATATGTAGGAACATCCCCAAATTAATTATTGATGCTTATAGAAATTTATGGGGTTCTACCTCAAAATCAATTGGCAATGAGGGGAGTAGCCCATGTGTCTTATATATTGATACCAAATTTCTCACGGCATCGATGTGGAACAAGTGTTTTATCACTCCCCCTTAGACCCAACGGGCATGGACTAAATCACCCGATATTTTCAATGGGTTAGTCCGATCGCCTCTGGCCCAGTAGGCATGGACTTTGAGCAGTCCGATCGCCTATTATAATACTGAGCATGACCCACTCTAATATCATATAGAAATCCATGGGGTTCCACCTCAAAACCAATTGGCAATGAGAGGAGTAGCCCATATATCTTATATGTTGATACCAAATCTCTCACGGCATCGATGTGGGACAAGTGTTTTATCAATGCTAATGTACAGAGATGAATTCAGCAGGGGAAAGTTGACTTGTAAACGCTTGTTTTTTTTTTTAATTAGAACTAATTTTGTCTCCTCCAAATACACTGACCATCGATAATATTTGCTTAATAATTTATTGGATCTGTAATACCTCAATATAAAGAGTGTGTGTGTGTGTAGTGTAGGTGTAACCGTGTAAGGAATTACAACGAAGCATAATTTACATTAGAAACTCTTATTTTATTTATGTTATAAGATACAAATTCAAATTGAATTTAGTTTTAATTTGTGATTCATAAACTGGGACTCGAGAGGAAGTAAAAGCTAACCAGTAACCACCTCAATTTCATCTACTTCTCTATGAAAACCTTTTTCTGAAACGGTTCTACTAAAACGTTGTGTCCATTTTTGCTTCAACATTTTCACTGTACTAAAAAAAATAATAATAAAAAATCATCTAATAAAGAAAAGAAAAATAAATAAAATACGGGATTTTAATCATGTACAACACAGATCGTCATCTTTCCAGTTTCCACTGGTTGAGCAACTCTAGTAAGTAGTAGTTGTACTAACTCCGAAGCTCGAAGATTCCAATTTTCAATCACGTGACTGTTGATTACAGTATGTCCTAAGATCCTATTGTTGTCTCTCTGATCTAAATGTGCAGTACCCAATTGAAACTAGATTTGATTCCCATTATCAGAGCTCATCTCATCTATGACAGGATGCCTGCCACCTGTACTGGTCCCCATTTGATCACTCTTGCTTTTTTTCCTTTTATTTCTTCCATCTTTTCTTTCTTTTCTTTTTTTTTTTTTTTTTTTTTGTTTTTGTTTTTAAGAATGGAATAAAGTTTCAAGTTATGTGGCTAACCCGTTCCAAGATCATTTGAACAACAACGGTTTTATCAACATCCAATACTACTCCCTCCGTTCCATAATTATTGTCCACTTTGAATTTTTATTTCTAGTTCAAATTGTACTAAAAGTAAAATTTCAAACTGGACAATAATTTTGGGACGGATGAAGTATTCCCTCCCCTCCCCCTTTTTGGCGACAGAGAGAGTAATACATCGATCAGATAAAAAAAGACTAAGGATATGGAACCAACTACCTTTGCCATAGAGTTTCTTTCTACACTTACTACAATCTATTAGACCATGAATTACATTTGTCTAGTTTCTTCCTTGAACCTATACGTTTTGCTACTAAACAACATCAAAACTTTAATCAGTTAATGCTACTACAACTACTTATGATTACCAGAAATAAGCTGCAAAAAGAAGAAAACTCCCAAGATGTAGCAGCAGCATTCTAGCAAATGCCGGTTTATTAGTCTCACTTCTTGTGCCTGAATTGATGATCTTCAATTCAACCCCTTCAATTGAGCTGGAAACATGCTGAACGGTTTTTGCTTTGGTTTCACTTTCGCTCATCTCACATGGGCCGATACCGGAATCTGATAGTGCATCAAGATCATCTCCGAGCCCATTTTTTGAGTGGTAGCATAAGCCCAAATTGTTCTGGAGCTTGAGTTTTCTTCTCATCCTCCAAACCGTGTCTCTATTGAATGGAACAGGCCCGCTCAATTGGTTATTGTCCAACCTTAGTTCACTCAAGTTCTTGAGTTCTCCCAACCTTGATGGGATTGAACCGTTTAGATTGTTTTTGTCAAGGTGGACCACCCGGAGCTTACTTAACCGGCCGAGCGACTCGGGGATGTTCCCTTGTAAATTCATATCCGATAGTACTAGAATCATCAAGTTGGTTAGACCGTGAAACATGTCACCCGGAATTGTAGTGGACACGGTCGGATTGCCATTTAGTATAAGAGCCTGAAGTGAATTCGAATTTTTGAGCGATATTGGAAGTGGACCAGAGAGAGCATTAAAACTCAAGTCTACTAGAATTAAATTCCGTAATCCTCCAATTGACTCTGGAATTGGACCAGATAGACAATTTCGACTCATGTCAATCTTACCAAGTGAAGGTCCTGTAATGAGCCTGACCGGAATTGAGCCAGCAAGATGGTTTTGATTGAGGTCTAGAACGTTTAACTCGGGAAAGACCAAGTCGGGAATTGGACCAGTCAACCGGTTTCCACTCAAATCCAACGACCTTAAACCGGTTAACCTGCCAAGCGAAACCGGAATCGAACCATTGAGATCATTTTTGTGAAGATCAAGAACTTTGAGACGGGTCAGATTTCCCAGCTCAGTAGGGATTGGCCCAATAAGCCCATTCTCCCTAAGAACTAAGCTCTGCAAGCTGCTTCCCAACCGGCCCAGAAACGCTGGAATTGGCTGAGGATTATTAGTGAAACAACGGTAAAAGAACAATGTCCGAAGATGCGGAAGCTTAGTAATGGCCGTAGAAATAAAAGGCTTGTCTGAATCACAAGTCGGAAATGCAGTATCATCGGACAATGCACCAAAAGAAAGTGAAACAACGTGGTACACATTGTCTTTGTCCGGCATACATTCAATGCCGTGCCACCGGCCCCGGCAAACGTCCGGTATGTCGGTGGCCCATTGGTTGCCGGTGGCTCTCATGATTTCATAGACTGCATCCTGCTCACGGGCGTCGGTCCTAGCCCCAATGCTGTTTATGAATCCAGTTTGCGGTGCATCAACTAAGGCAGAGGGCACGCCGGAATCTGGAATGATCACGGTGAATGGCTTGGCCGGAGGAATGATGGACACCAAAAGTAGGAGCATTGAAATGTGGAATGAGGAAAAAAGGTTCATTTTGGAATGTTTGTGAAGAATTCAGGGGATTTTGGGTTTCTGCCTTCTGGGAATTCCAGAAAGGGTGGGGGGCTTTTATAAATGGTGGTAAAAAATCTGGAAATTGATTGAATATGCGGAAAGCTGGTGAATTTGACAGAAGAAAGAATGAAGAATGGTGGTGGGTGAATAATTGAAGTAGGCTGATTTATGGGTTCACGGGAATGAGAGGAATCGGAATAAATGCCAAAAAAAGAAAAATTGTGGGAATTTAATGTTCTTCACGGGGTTTTCCAGATTGCATTACGTTAGGGAATTTTTAAGCTGTCTCTATTATATGAGGCCCCCAAAAAGGGGTCCAGTTCCAGTCTATCAAAATCTGGTTTTGACTTCTCCATATTCTTTTAATTTGGTACTACATCAATCCCTGAAATTTTGAAGTAGTCCTGCTGAATCGGTTTCATTTCCTGATTTTGGCATGAAATTAAAGATAGTACAATGCTGACAAAAATGGACGAAGAATTGTGAATTGTATTTCTCTTGCCGGCGGTCAGACGCTCCGGTGTACAACAGGGGAGTTGGGCCTTATCCTCCAAATCAAAACGTTCGACTGGAAAGTGGAATTAAGCCCATTTGGACAAATGCCCAGAAAAGCATTGTTACATTGTGGCAAACTGGCAATGGATAATTATGCACTTCATTAAAAAAAATAAATTGCAAATTGCTTATGTTTTTAACTTTACATTAGTCATCATTTCATGCCGCCCAATGCAATCGAAGCTCTAAAATATCTTCCTTTTTTGAGGTTCCCTTCCCACAATCAAATTGGGAAAGAAATTCAAAATGGATAAAGATGTAGAAACTCAGCAGATGTTCCAGAAACCACGTTGCAAAACGTAGAGGACACCGATGCATCTCCAACATTGCCACGTATCCTTACGCTATTCCCATTTAAACCTCGTACCTGCTTATTCCACTGTAGAACAACTTCGTATCAATCCGAAAGTTAAACTGAAGCGAAACATTAACACAAACACCATGCAGGCAATGAAGGAGAAATCGGAGATCGACCCACAAGAGAGCAGCCATGTTGAACCAAGGCCTCAAAGGATTGGTGAAAAGAAAGTGAAGGATCTGATCGTCGACAAGAGAAGACTAGTGGAAGTTCCGTACACGGCGTCTTTGGCGGATACGATGAATGCTCTGATGGCAAACAGGGTGGTGGCGGTTCCGGTGGCTGCGCCGCCGGGACATTGGATTGGAGCGGGAGGGTCAATGATTTTGGAGTCCGATAAGCAAACTGGTGCTGTGAGGAAGCATTATATTGGGATGGTTACCATGCTGGATATACTTGCGCATATTTCTGGGAATGATGTTTTTGAAGCTGGGAAGAATGTAGTGGATGATTTAGACAAGAAGATGTCTGTCCCTGTTTCTTCCATCATTGGCCATTGCCTTGAAAGTCTCAGCCTTTGGACACTTAATCCCAACACCAGGTACTCATCTTTTTTAGCTACATGATTTGGATTATTCTTGTGATTAATGGTAGTGATTGTGAATTGATCAATGGCAAATATTCTGGGTTGATGCCATACAGGGTACTAATTATTTACTGAACCTTTTATTACATGTGAGAATTTGAGAATCAATAGCGGGATGAAATTGTGTCATTTTCATGTTTGTTATACCAGTCGGTTATTAGTGTTACATTAAATGACTAAATTGATTAGAATCAGTCACAATCAAGTTGCAAGAACACTTTACTAAGTTTTCTTTGTAAGTTCGCTTTCTCTGTGATTAGGATTCTTATCTTGTGGTAATGGATGTAAGGATGTTCATTTCACAAATTTTGACTTAGTTCATATTCTCCACCGTCTTTGTCATTACTTGTGTTATTCTATTGATTATTGTCAATTTTTTAACAATAGCTTTAAGTTTTCCTTATAGCTGTGACAAATTTGAGGTTAATTAAGCTGCCATTTTTTCATTCTAATTTGCATTTTTCACATTGTAGCATACTTGATTGTATGGAAGTGTTCAGCAAGGGAATACACCGGGCCCTGGTGCCTGTGGACAGCCACCTTGAGAATGTGGCGGGAGTTGAACTCGTGGAATCCGCATCCAGCTACAGAATGCTGACACAAATGGATCTTCTCAAGTTCCTGAAAGCACATCATGAAGGCCAGCTAAGAGGTCTTCTAACCCGGAGCCTCCGACAAGCAGGAGCACTCACGGATGTCATCTTTGGTGTAACGGACAAGGCTCGAGTCATTGACGTAATTAAGTGCATGAGGACTGCTTCCTTAACTGCTGTCCCAATCGTCCAATCTTCTAGCTCAATCCAGGAGGACCATGCTCAACTAGTCAATGTATGTATAATTCCTGTTTATTTTTCTTTTTCTTGTAAAGGTAGTAATCTAATATGAAAAGGGGGCAAGCAAAAAAAAAAAAAAGAGACTAATGTTACATGATTTGTTGTGGTGAATTGTGGCACAGGGGAAACAGAGGAAGCTGGTGGGGACGTTTTCGGCCACGGATTTGAGGGGTTGTCCAGTTTCTCAACTGCAAGGATGCCTCAAACTGGGAGTGGTGGAATTCCTGGAGAAGCTTGCGGAGACGCCGTTGCATCAGGCTGCTTGTTTGAGAAGCTCGGTGAGGGACCCGGTGGCTTGCCGGGAGGAATCGCTTCTGGGCGAAGCTGTTGACAAAGCGATAACTTACGGAGTGCATCGAGTTTGGGTGGTAGATGGGCAAGGTTTGCTTGATGGCCTTATATCACTCACTGATATGATTAGAGTCATGAGGGCTTGGCTTCTTAATGAGCAGCTCTAGATAGATAGTTACTTTTTGGGTGGACTTCAGAGTTTTACTTGTACAGTACTTTTGTTATGTACAACTAATCTACGAAAATGCAGTTAGTAAGAAAACGAAATGCGTTAGTTTTGGTCCGTTGCAAGAAAAGGACTGGTTTGCATAATACTACTATATAGATTTCGTTTTATGGAGAATAAATTAGTTAATTAGACGAATACGTGTTCTTCTTAGTATTATATTATACATTTTGAGTATGCTCAAACTTCAGAGTTCGTTCACCTTCCCCTTCCAGCCTACCACCATTCAATACTAAAAGAATTTATCTTCTTGTACCTGTCCTTTACCCCGGGGGGGGTGGGGTGTGTGGAGATGGTGATCAATTGCACATAACTGTAACCAATGATTACTGATGGAACGATTTTTGGGAGGTTTACGCACAAGTAACAAATTCATGCATAACTCAATATTTAGGAACGAGCTCCTTGTCAATTAGACCTCAATATATATGTTGGTTAGTAACTATGATCCCGGAAGCCAAAAATTGGAAATCAATGATTGGTGACTTTGCGAATCCGTGTTCACGTTTCATGTTCCAATGGGGGATAGTACAACATAGTGAGGATCAAAACAACCCAATAACAGAGTGGGGTTAAGTCCATTAAATGAGTATAAACACACAATTGTTCATGGGTTTTGCTGGAACAAAGATGACCATATCCGGGCAATCACCAAGACCAAGTTGTTGGGCATTTATAGTGGGTTCACAAGTTCTGAAATCAGGAAACAAACACCCTGAAAAAAATAAAAAATCTCTAGCTGTCAGTAGAGATAGATTTTGAACTGTTTATTTATAAGCGTTAGATGATTTTACCACTTATAAACTTGTTATCATAGCTGCGATGGTATTCAACAACTAGTCATTAAAATCTCCAAGTTGTCCCATGGAATTTTTTAATGCAATTGTGGACTTGTAGTTAGTCCCAGGGGAAACATGGCGTCAATTTGGAGTTAATGTTAACAGAATAGTTCCCCTTCTTTTTGAAAATGGGTTGGATGTGGGTAGTGGGTGCATTAGGAGTTGGATCATCAAGTTTTTATGCCCAGCATTTCATTTTCTTTGACAGTTTAAACATTTCAATTAATTTTTTTTAAAAAAAAAACTTTGGGTATAAATTTCAATTAATGATTCGATTACTGGATGATGATGGTGAGATGAGATTATATCGCCGACGATGACGAGTTTCACCCAACTGTAGTTCAACAACAACATAAGATAACAAAAGTTCACCGAACTTCGTCACCGGTTACGAGGATTTAATGTTTCGGTAGAAAATAGTACCCACTCATCCGTCCCGAAATAAAATACAAAAATAAGTAGGAATATGTGTAATTTTCTATGTAGCTCGAAGTCAAGTTAACGTAGTGTCAATTTAGTTTGTGGTACATTAATTAACGAACTAATATTGTGGGCTATAAGCTGGTCGATTCTGCATTCACTTCAATCCCCTGTCAAAACTTCGACCTAACAATTCTAATATTTGGTTCATTGATTCATTCTAATTCAGTCATTATTTCATTGGAATTCCGATTATAATTTCACCAAACAAAACAAAAAAAAAAAAGGGGTTCATAAGACCACATTGCGTTGTGAATTATGCAACATATAAAAAGGGTTCACTAAATTTTTCATTTTTTTAAAATACGATTCCGAAAATACTATATATTGTAACATTTCACGTCGGTTGAAATTTGATCGTATAAATTGTAGATTTGTTACTAAAGTATTCGATCATTGCACTATAAATGTTATCTTAAATTTTTGTTTGACTCAAATGGGGGGAGATAACAAAGAAACTCATTTCTTGTCTTGGGGAACGAAGTTTAACCGGAAAATTTGCATTTGTTTTAACTTTTAATAATAGTAAAACGTTCTGTAATAGTACTAGAAAACATGATTAAATTAGACATCTATTGGTTAAATGAGGTTCATTTCCTCGTACACTCCGTCAGTCTCAGTCGATATCTCCATCTCCTTCCTATATATTTATTCACCCACCGCTTCTTCTCACAAAAATAATGCCTTCCCTCCAACGCCGTCAGCCATGAACGGACTCTCACCCCACCTCCGTTATCCTTCCCAAACTCAGACTAAAACTCTCAACAAACGAAACGCCTTCTCCCATTCTTCCAACGGCGGCGGCGCCACTCTCAGAGCAAAACCGACCGGCGCGGACTTCTCATGCTCATCGGACGATAAGGACACGATAAAGAAGGATAGCAAACCAATGTCAAAAGTTGTTGACGGCGGCGACGGAGGAGATCGTTTCGCCAAAAAGAATCATGATTGGAAATCGTTGATAGACAAGGCTTATTTCATGAGATGGAGAACAGAGGATGTTTCCGGCGTGTTCCGCCACCATCCGATACCGTGCGTTTTCGCCGCCTGCGTGTTGTTTTTCATGGGCGTCGAATACACGCTCCGGATGATCCCGTATTCATCTCCACCGTTCGATCTGGGCTTCGTTGCCACCGTCTCTCTTAATCGGATTCTCGCATCCCGGCCATTCCTCAACAATTTTCTCGCTGGACTCAATACGGTAACGTTTCTCAAGCTCTGTTAATTTTTTTTTTCTTTTTTTAGATTCCATTCTCTGCATGCAAAATTGTAAATTATTCTTCAATAGTAATATTAATTTTATATGTTTTGATTGGATCGGGTTACGGCCGGAAGGTGTTTGTGGGGATGCAAACGGCGTACATATTGGGGACGTGGTTGTTGGAAGGCCGGCCGAGAGCTACGATATCGGCGTTGTTCATGTTCACATGCAGAGGAATTCTCGGATACGTTACACAGTTACCCGTGCCACAGGTATTATTATAGTATTTTTCTAATCTCGGTTCTTGTTTGTTTCATCTCAGAAATTTTTGTTTCAGTTTAAAATTTTATTTTTAGTACAAGTTGAATTGAAGGTAAAAATCAAAGTAAATAATAATCGTCCCGAAATTATTGTCTAGATTAGACTTTCAGTTGTAGTATAAATTGTAATGAAGTGAAAGTGAAAATTCAAAATGAATACTAATTTTTGGACAGAGGGAGAAATTTTTAAATTGAACCCACAAAGAAGCCAATTAAGCTACCTAGCTACTTGGTCTTAGATCTTGGCTGGGAACAAAAAAATTAATTCTTCATCCAGGGTTAGAAATTAGAATAATAGAAAGCCTTTTCATGACCTCATGAAACTTTTTTGATGGAGTTGGTTCATATGGACTGCACGTCTTCAGGGACCATTTTGATTATCTCAATATTTTAAGATCCTACTACTACACCGGTGTGACCATCTTCCCACATAAATAAATTACATATGCATTCAACAATGGCCTTTTTTTTTTTTGGATTTTCCGGTGATAATACATTTTAAAAAAGAAAGAAATGGATATGACCATCAAAGTTGACAAAGATGGTCACGGAAGGGACAAGTTTTCCTACTTGCGGTGTTAACGCCCGGAGGAAACTTCTAAAACGAGTCAATATTTCCCATGTTCCGTTTTTTGGACAATCACAAAGTGATTGGACAGGAAATCCTCTCTTTTCTTTTTTCCTTTTTCCACTACCAAAAGAAGGAAAGATCATGTGACTTCGCCAGAGAATCAATTGGAAGTTTGCCACTTTGCCCCCTCCATAATTTGCTTTATTTCTTTGCTTTTCTTTTTCTTTTGTCACACAAATAATTCGGTTTGGATGTTTAATTTGGACCTCAAAACTACAGAAAATAGTCAAATTGGTTTTTGGCCGGAGGACGGAAGGAGTATATAGTCCAAGATAGACATAAAAGTGGTTGTCACCATCTTGATTCTTTGATTTTATTTTTTCTGAAAAAAGAAAAAGAAAAAACTTTGTTATGGTACCATGAGCTCAATTAAATGTATTAGGATAAAAAATTTTCGTGGTCAACTGTTAGTGTCACGTTTCCAAGACGTGCAATTTTGGAACTCTATGCACGAGGAGTTATTAATTTTACTAACTTTTAAAATGGATGATGATGATGGTGATGATTTGGTTGTTGTTGGTTCCCTTTTTCCCAGGATTTCTTGGGGTCGGGAGTGGACTTTCCAGTCGGTAACGTCTCATTTTTCCTGTTCTATTCCGGCCATGTTGCGGCGTCGGTGATAGCTTCTATAGACATGAAAAGGATGCAAAGATGGGAATTGGCGTGGACATTTGACCTTCTCAATTTGTTGCAAGTGGTTAGGCTGCTGAGCACAAGAGGGCATTACACAATTGACTTGGTCGTCGGGGTCGGTGCCGGGATACTGTTCGATTCCATGGCCGGAAAGTACTTGGAGGGTAAGAAAAAAGAAGCAGCCGGTGGCACAAACAAAGGCTATGGTGCTTTGTATAGCTTGTGAATTGTGTGTGATAGGTTGATTTTGTCCCTCCAAAATTTCTAGATGGGTAAACTCTTAAAATGTCTAGTCTTCTTTAATCTTTTCTCATGATAAGACTCGGTTTTGATAATGTTCTGCACTCTGCAGTAATTGTGCCTTCCTCTTTAGTTTTCTTTGTAGAAATGTAAATAGTTGTATTGTAAATACAAGAAACTGTTATAAAAAAAACATGATGATAAAGAAAATTGGTAAAGTATTACAAATATACTTGTTACATACATACAATCTTACATACCTTAAGAAACAGACTTTATTTCATTTTAAATATACTCCTCCATCTTCGTCCCAACATTATTCGGTCAATCAAAATAATTGGAGTGAATGGTAGTTTTGATCCATGGCAATGACACTGAAGCAGCTTTGATCCATCGCAATGGGCATTTTAGGACTTTAGGAAGACTTGGGAAGCTTCATAGAGTCTTTGTAACACTTTTATTTAACACAGACACGAGTTTTGTTTTATTATCACCTTGGGAGAATCCAAAGAAATTACATTTTCAAGCCTTCACATTTGGACTATGGTTCTTTGGTTTCTAATGGAGTGAAATGACGTCAAAATAAGAAAACAAAACCACACCACGAAGCCAATGAACAGAATAGAATACTAGATTGATTTTTTTTCTTTGGTGCACGCTCTTGGCTTGCTTCCTGTTGCTCGTTCTGTTGCTTTCAATCATTAGCATTATGCTTAACCAAGACAGACAGAAAATGTAATATGGAAAAAGATCATACTTCAAGAATAATTTGGTAGGACAATAACCTATACTGCTATACATCATCCTGCAATTCTGTACTGTGTATCATGATCATCACTATGTTCAAAGGCTTAATTTTATCTTCAGAATAACCCCGCCGATCCCACAAATGGTTTGATGGAGTGACAGAAATCCAAGGTCTGCATTTTACTCCTCAGAGTCTGAATAAGGCGGGCAAGATCCATCGTCCACATTGGCATTTGGATCAAACAATGGCGAGCTTGGATCAATGCATCCTGGTACTAAGTTCAGTTCGCAGCGATCTGCCTGTGCAATAGCACAAGATTCCGAATGTTAATTGTAAATCTATGAATGATGGCAGAATCTGATGACTTGGCGTACAATGTTCAACGAGAATTTCAACTTACTCCTTCCGCAGATAGGTTACTGACAATAGCACATCTTGTGACAACAACACTTGTATCTGGAAAGATGGCTCTTTCGCATGCGCCTTCTTTACTCAACTCCCCAGCAAGGCCCTGCAAAATCAGATCACTATGCTGATTCACCATTGAACATAATCTTCACTTTTTAACCACTAACATAGTTTAATCTCATGAACCCAATCACCAGATTTCTGATGGACTCTTGTTAGTTGTTAATTACCTTTATACCTAAACTACTTTCACGAGTACTAGAGATGTAGCAGAACTAAGCCATTGTTACCTCATTAAAAAAGTCGATGGGCTTGTTTCGCCATTGCTTTGGAACTTGAAACTGCAATCTGTATGGACCATCCCACTCACTTCCATTTGTGAAGGAAAATATCAAATTTACAGCTGCAATATCACCCAGAGAAAGAAGTGAGCATAGAGACGGGAGGTAATGATTATGGAAAAACAGGAAAGAGTTTCGTAAATGGCCAACCATGCTTGGGAACACATATCTGAATAGTGTAATATGGGGGATCGGCTTTGCCACGAACTTTCTGAAGCATCGCCCTAGGCTCGCCACCACACATGATGGGCTGATTGAAACCTCCTGTAAAATCGGTATCAGTGTTCATATTGTGATTTTAAGATTCAGAACGTGCTTTCGGCCCTTACATCCATGAAACAACTAATGATTCAGGGTGAATGTAAGAAATATAGAATATACCATTGAAAGCTATCCCAAAATCCTCATTTGGAGTGAGGTTAGTTGCAGCTGGATTGTAGAAAAGTTTTAATTTCTCTCCCTGTCAGATATATAGGTGCATAGTCAATGGAATGCAAAACCAAAGAAACTAAGTTACAACATCTTATAGAGTGAAGCCATACAGCCATTGGAGGAAGACCGTTCGTGGTTTTCCAATAAACTGGAGCTCTTCCAAGGTCAAATGCAGCCCATGTTGGAAGAGAATACCTGCAAATGGATTGTCAATTTAGTTGCGATAAGATTATATAACTTCATGCGCGGTAGAAATGTATATGCTCGTGAATTGGTTTTCAACAGACTCAAAAGATAAGAAAAGCTTTGAGTCAAGCAGCTCACTCTTGAATTTCCTCATCAGGACTTGCTACAACAGTTGCAGCAGCAGCTTTAACAGTTCCAGAACTCCCAGCCGTCTTCCTCTTGATTGGATGGCATCTTCGCAATGAAGCTCCTAGAAACTTCGAAGCTGCATTTGATTTTAGAGGTCAACACAATTGAAACTAAAGGGTTCGATCTTCTATCTCTAAGTCCCAAATAAAAAACATATTCCGGAGGCTTCTGAGAGAAAATTATGAACTAATGCACCAGAAAAAACATGAAACCCAATCAGAAACATAAGGATATCCAGATACAACCAACTATGATTCTTATCTACTGTTTCATTCTTAGGCTTATCTAAAAGCATATAGATGATTAATGACTGTAAAGCATCAATAATCAGTGTGAATTCACTAGCTACACGACAGTTGAAAGTTTCAGAACAATCCGTCAATTTGAAGAAATCTTAACATCCATTTAGTATGTATGATTCAACTATATATGCTGATGATCATTATTTATGACAGTAAAGCGTGATAAAGAAACTAAGGTACAATCAAGAATGCGGAATAAAGGAGCAGGAAATTGCGATGGCTCACCGCATTTGCTCGCAACGGAGACACTGGAACTACTGCTTGAAGCAACAGGATTTACTGGCAAACTTTGATGGGAAGAAGAGAAGATTGCAGCATTAGTTGTAGCTGCCGTCCTCACAGCCGCCACTGCCATATTGCAAATTCCCAAGAAGATAGTTTGAGAATGTGAGCTGAGAGCTTAAAGATAACGCTAAAAAGATATAAGCAATCCTTAAAAAGGAACCACACAACAAACATCCACAAAATATCTTCAAACTAACAAACTGACAAAAAATCACACGACTTGCCAACTTTGATAATATTGATCCCACCAAAAAATCTGCGTGATATTATCATCCAGACGTATCAAACACCGCCTTTCACCATCTTTACTTCTCACTCCACGAAATCCCTTCAATAGCCCCACCGCCTTATCACCTCCTTTGCCAAGTTGGCTCCCCTTCACTCTTAAGAGTTTGACCGCAGAAAATCTCCCCTGACTCCGTCCATGAAATTTTAAGGTAAGAAACTAAAGAACCGAAAATTGTAAGTTGTAACATCCCACCATATATTTAAGACCAAGAACACGAGAACGCCGTAACCAAATTAACAAAAATGGTTTCTTTTACAACTACACCAGCTCCCAAAATCAAACCCTTTTGCTATTCAATCCATTTGCCTCCCAACCGCTTAATTCCCAAACCAGAACAAACCATTTTCCACAATGCTACACACAATCATCATGATTCGATTGGAAATTTGCTCCAAAGCTCTAAACTTAATGGGTTCAGAGCCCGCGGCAGAAGAGTTTTAGTCCCAATTGTTAGTGCGGCAGCAGGACAAGTACTACAAGAACCGGGTGAAGAGGAGAAACCAAAAATTGGGAAAATTTTCTTATCTGATGTGAAGGTGGTGAAGAGGAGAAATGTGTTTTGGGGTAGAAAGTGGAGTTCTATGGATATTGGTACAGCCGGGGTGGTGGCGGCTATGCATTTGTTAAGCCTTTTTGCTCCCTTCACATTCAATCCGGGAGCTTTTTGGGTTGCCGTTGGATTGTATGTTGTAACTGGTCTACTTGGAATCACCCTGTCTTACCATAGGAACCTTTCTCATAGGAGTTTCAAGCTTCCCAAATGGCTGGAATACTTGTTTGCCTATTGTGGTGCTCAAGCACTTCAGGTGAATGCCCCTGAAAACCATTAACATTTATTCCTATAAAGTTTCAATCTTTACCTTGCAAAGATTGAGTTTTTGATATGCTTTCATGTTTCAGGGGAATCCAATTGATTGGGTGAGTACACATAGACACCATCATCAGTTTTGTGATTCTGAAAAAGACCCACATAGTCCCATTGAAGGATTTTGGTTTAGTCATATGAGTTGGCTCTTTGATCAAAATAGCTATATCGAACGGGTAATTTTCCTCGGGTTCAGTCCCTGTTTGTTTCATTAAGGATTTTCCTGGAACTTCTTGCTGATGATTTAACTTTGTTGGTTAGTGTGGAGAGGCTACAAATGTTGTTGATTTGGAGAAGCAGCCTTACTACAAATTTCTGAAGAACACTTACATTGTTCATCCCTTGGCACTTGCAGCTCTCTTATACTCAATTGGTGGATTTCCTTTCATCGTGTGGGGAATGGTAAGTGTTTTATTTAACACAAGATGAATATATTGTTACACAGCACTATTTTAGCACTATTTTATTGAATTCTTTGCAATTTTGTGCATGGATAGTGACACACAACACCATGGAAACCAGTCAATATGCCCAGTTGATGAAAGAATTCTTTCTTGCAATAGTAATTTGGACTGTGCTTTGTAAATGGTCCCACTACATGTGGAAAATAGGGATCGAATTCATGTCTAAATCTAAGAACTGGGGCCCTGAAATGGTTTAAATTGGACCCCTGACATTTTGTCGTCACTCTTCCAATTTGCTTAAAACAAGTTCAAACAACTTCATCATGAAAAAGCCCTCATCTTATCATGTGAACAAGTGATTAGCTAAAAAAGGTTTTTTTTTTTTTTTTTGTAGGGAGTGAGGATTGTGTGGGTGTACCACATCACTTGGCTTGTGAATTCAGCTTGTCACGTTTGGGGAAAACAGGCCTGGAATACCGGCGATCTTTCCCGGAACAATTGGTACATTTTCTTTATTGGTGCTTCCTTTTTAACGAATTAGGCCAAAAAAAAAAAAAATGGTTACATTTTGTTAAGCCTGAGAAATCTGGAATTTTGAAACTTAATTAGGTGGGTGGCAGTGCTTGCATTTGGAGAAGGTTGGCATAACAATCACCATGCATTCGAGTATTCAGCAAGACACGGACTGGAATGGTGGCAAATTGATATGACTTGGTATGTGGTCCGATTTCTACAAGCCGTCGGATTAGCCACTGATGTTAAGCTACCAACCCAAGCTCAGAAGCGAAGGTTGGCTCTCACCAACTGAGTTTAACCCAAAACTTTCATTGATTCATTCACTGAATTTAGAGCTTAATTTTGGTTGTAATATGTGGTTTAGTATGTAAGTCAATTACTCCCCCGGTTCCATGGCTTTCTTAAACTTCTAATTACACAAAACTCTTATCCAAAGTTTACATTTAGAATGTGTGTGATATATTGTTTTTAGTGTAGATATATGAAGGGAGCCAAAGGCTTAGGTACAAAACACCCTTACCGAGTTTTACTGTATCATTTAGGCCAATACGGCCAAGAAAGGCCGAATTTCTCTGTCTTTCTACATTATAAAACTATAGTTTTGCTTTGGGCCCTTGCTTGTCCTTCTACTTTTGCCTTTTTTGAAAGAAAATTGGGCTGGTAAATAGCCAGATGTCACTGAGCTATAAAGTATAACATTCAGGAAAGTTGGGCCATTAATATGTAATCCAATTTCTTCCGTAAGAAATTAGAGCTATAAATTCAATAAGGAAAGCCCACCACGGGAATTAAGCAACATTTATTCTAATAAGAATTTGTAAGCTCCTAAACCGGAATTGGGTTGTAGAAATTTCCCACATTAAACGTTTCCGGAAAATGAACCGGTTGATTCCATGGCCAAAGTAGCTTTTGTCCATCTTTCCGGTACACATTTTGTCAATACCCCCGATACGATTCAAGAAAAATTAAAGATAGACAATCCTACCTCGACTCATGCTCGATGAGTTGTTTTATAGTCTAAAGTCTAAATTTCGGTATCCCTAGTATATAAAATAAAAAAATAAAAATAAAAACTCCCATTTTCTTAAGTAGATCAAAGAACATTGCTTTTGTATTCACAGGAGAGAATATTCAAAAAGAAAAATTTAGTCATTATTCCTTCATCTCGCTAATTCATTGCTTAGTTTATTGAATTACCACGCATAACGAAATGAGACGATTAAATATTTCTTTTTGTAACTTGTAATTGTCCATCTTCTTCCATATGCGTAAATCATGATCACATTTAGCGCAACCTAAGTGCAACCCCTTCTTTTAAAATTGAAAAGAGTATGACGAATTAATAGAATATGGGTAGCTAGATGATTATGCGTATGGGTAGTCTCTCGAGCAAAGAGTCAAGCGCCTCAAATTCAATTACACAGTGATTAAAAACTAGAATGGCACGTAATTCTACATACTAAAAAATCATGTTAGATTAGTGATTAGTTGACATATGATTCAGGGTCCAAACAAAAAGTTAGTACTACTATTGAAAAGAGCGAAACAAGGGCATGCATTTCTCCTCCCCCAACATTTGGAATTTCGAAGCTCAAAAAAAGCTTTAAGCTCAGTAATTTTAACGAATTAATTTACAAGGAATTTTGGTGTGGATAATACCCACGGGAAGCAAGCACGAGAGCACTCGAAACTAATGATTAGCTATCCTCTATTATTTGTTTAATCATACTCTCCCCTACTTTGAATCGCTTTTTCCATATGAGTGTTTTGTCGCTCTTTACAAAAAGTGCTTCACTTTTCTCTGCCTTGTAATTTACTACACGGTTAATTTAATCCCGTTTCAAATTCAATCAAATGTTTGGTCATTTCTTTCTATAAAAAATAATTATTTCATTCATTGGATCATCAATATAAATAGAACGATTATTTTTAGATAGAGGGTTTATGTAATTTTTTTTAGAGGACAAGTGATGCATGATTTATAAGGTTGAGATATATAGTGAGTGCATGTATTAGGTATTATGATATATAAGGTTGAGATATATTATGTATTATAAGGTTGAGACATACAATAGTGAATGTGATGATATAGAGTGGATGCATGCATGTATTATGAACATTTTGGCTAGCGAAATGAATAGATTAAAAAAGTGGAAGTAAATGAAAATAAAGTTTGGGGGAGGTCATATTTAGTTCATCCTTTAACACAATAAAGTTGGAGAAAGAAAAAAAATCGGAGTATATGTATTATTCTATCTTGAAATGTTGCATCGATTTATCCTTTCGTATGTTTTTGGTCACCCTGGAAAATGGACATGCAAGAATTCTGTGAAATCATGAAATGACAAAACGACAATAAATCAGAGATGTCGAGTACAAAGGACACATAATAATTGAAATTTTGTAGTAAAGATTTTTTTAATTGAAAAAAATAATGTTTTAGTGGTAACGTATTGGGAATTATTAATTACTACTCCTATGTAGTGTGGAGTCGTATTAATTTACTGAGTTACTGGAGGGCTTACGTCAAGATGAAGCATGCATTGGGAGCGAGTAACTCGAGGTTACTTTATTTAAATAATGATTGCCAGTAAATTCTCCACCTCCGCCTAAATAAACAAAAGTTACTACCATTCTGTTATCTGCAGCAACAACCATTAGCCACATTTCTTACTAATTTCACCGCAAAGCAAAACCCATCATGCGTGAACCTTCATTTTCTTTTCTCTTTGCTTTTTTTTTTCTTTTGAAATGACGCATTGCCATTAATATTGCAATTTTTTCTTTTTCTTTTTTTTATGGATAAGTAGCCCTTAAATTGAAATTTAACCTTAAAGAAATAACCATCTCATTGACAAATTCATGGACAAAATTTGATACATATGTAAACGAGGTACACATCTTACGTACAATCCAGTTTTATTATTGTTATATAATAGCGTTATGGGAATGCCTTCCTTCTTTTATTTTATTTTATTTTTTCTTTTTCTTTCTTTTTTTTTTTTTTGTCTTGCCTTTGCGTTATGGGAATGCCTGTGCGTCGGAGCAAACTAACGAGCAAATCATTTTGATGAATGTTATAAAATGAATAATAAATACTGTCCCAAAATTATTGTTCAATTTAATATTTCACTTTTAGTACAATTTTAACTCGATAATAATTATAGTACGAATGGAATTATCTAGATAACGTGTCCAAATGATATTTTAGATGACGATGCATGATGGTGCAATTAATCAATTTTGTATGGAACTTAGAGCTTGCAAAAATGATGCGCACTATCAGCCAATGTTCCCCACTTTGAAGCCCCTTATTGAAAAGTCTCATAATTTCCTTGCCAACTTTTGCAGTCCTATTATCGCAAAAAGCATGCATTTGATTCCTACTACCTCTCTATAATGCATTTTCTCCAAAACCCACACACAAAAAAAAAAAAAAAACCAGTTCCTCCTCTGTAGAAAGAAAGTCAGAAACAGAGAAAAAAAACTTCTGAGAGAAAATTGAAATAGGGCTTGTTTACCGGGGGGAGGGGGTCTCAGGCTCAGGCTCAGAGCCAAAGCCCAAACTCCAAGGCCTAGCCAACTATGTAAGCATGGTATTTTGCTGGCTTTTTAAAACTTTTTGAGCTTTTTTTTTAAACCTGATTTTTGAAATGAGAGACTAATGAAGGTAAAAGTAAAAGGGAGAAATATAGAAATAGAGTCAGAGGGAAAAGGTAAAAGAAGACTAGAAAAGTGAGAGGGAGGAGTATATTGCGTTATTTTGGCAGCTTGTTAGAAAGTGTGTCATTTTGGCTGGAAGGCTAATATAGGAGTACTATTATTAATTTTTTTTTTTAAAAAAATAAAAAATGAAATTGGAAGAGTCGACAAATAAGCAGGAGGGTTGTCGGGGGAAAGAGGGGAAGAAATGCACACGCCGCATTGTGACAGCCGGCAAAAGTATCAACAGCACGCGGCTAGCCGGAACAAGGCCTCTCTCACCCGTCTCATCGGTCGCCAATCTCTCCATAGGTTCGTTTTGTGGGATTAAAATTTGGTCTATAACTCCCAAGCTTAGAGAAAATTACTACTCACTCCATTCCAAAATAAGTATCGTTTTAGCAAAATAGAGAAATTTCAAAATAAATATTATTCTCACATTTCAATGCACTTTTTGTCAAAAATTTCCAAAATTACCCTCAAAAGAGTTGATGCTATTGGTGGATAATTTTATAATGGGGTTGGTTGAGAATATTCAAGTAATTTTATTATCATATTTAAAAATTTCTTAAATTATGTGCAAAATGTAAGACAACACTTATTTTGAAATGGAGGGAATACTACTATTTTGGTACTATAGCACATAGCCATTAATTAGGTACTCCTACATTACTTGCATGCAGCTGTATGCATGTTTTTGTTTGGCCGGCATTCTTGAAAAACACCCCATTTTTCACCTCCATATTAAACTCATTCTCCTTTCTCGATTATATATGAACCAACATTCATTCTTTCCTCCTAGCTAATAATGCATCTCAAATTCTTTGGTCAGGTTCGAAACTTGTCATGAGCATAAAACAACTTTAAATTCCACGAGCGAGAAAAATTAGTCATTGTTGATGACAGTGGACACCCTGTAATATAATAATAATAATAATAATAATAATAATAATAATAATAATATATAGTATTATATTAAGAGAGAAACCAGAGAGAGAAAACAAAAAAGAATTCTAAAGGTGTCACATAGGATAAAATCCTATGTGTCATTTTTCTAATGGTTGAGTCAAAAAAATATTTACAACAATTACACTAATAGTCCTTCAAATTTATGTAAATAAAATTTTATCAAATGACATTTAAAACTATAGTTATAAAATTAGAAAATAAAAATTAATTAAATTTAATTATCGGGATTAAAGAACATTAATGCACCAGAATTATTTCCTCCCCAAAAGAATCCCCAAAATTACTACTGGACTCATTTAATTAATTTCTTTTAAAAAAAATCTCTCTCCCAATCATGTAAATCAATAGACTACAATTCAAAAAAAGAAAAAAAAACCTAATCATTCAACATTAATGTTATCTTTAAAATCTTCTCTAAAAAACATGACCCTGTATTTTTTCGCCAATAAAAAAGAAAAAAAAGATACAAAACTTGCCTTCAATTATTACTAAAATGATGGGATTTAACTATAATTAAATGTTATCTTTTGAATTTCAAACCAATGCATTTATTTGTGTAATATCATATTTACCCAAATAAATATAATCTTTTCTTAATAATATCTCAAAAGTTGTTATAAACTTTATCTTTATCACTGAAATTTTGGACAATCAATTATTATCAATCCCAATTTATCTCTATTTATTTCCACTTTTGGATAGTAAAATTTTGGATAGTAAAATATACTCCAAAACACGTACATTACTGATGGATTATAAATAAAAATAGTAAAATTCATTTTACACTTTTTATATTTTTTTGTAGATTTTTTATAATGTATATAAATAAACCCCACGCATCGCGCGGGTTTAACAGCTAGTGAAATTAGATTACACTGTAATCTTTCCGAACCCAAAAAAAATCCCAATCAGTAAATTCTTTATTATTTTTTATTTTCTTTAAGGTATCAGTAAAAAATTTTTACTGAATTTTCTTTTCTTTTTTCTAACTTCATTTTGATTTATGATAATAGTTGCAAAATTGTCGATTCAAATTTTATCACTGAGTTGTGAATTCCAGCTTTAACATCCTAAAATCATACTGTTTTTATAATATTTTGTCATCAACAACAAATATGTTCAATGAATTAACGAAAAATTTAACATTGTAACGCCTGAAAATCAATATAAACTCTAATCACGATAGAAGATTGACGTATTGAGATCAAATTTGATAACCACCTACTTTTGCATCAAACGGGCATCTACCAGAATTGTAAGTCTATACATGATGTATCACGGAGAGTCACGGGGAAGAGGACATTTGTAATATCCTCCAAAATAAAGATTACCTAAATAATGAAAGACATTTTTTTCTCAAAAAAATAAAAATAAAAATAATAGTAATCTGTAGTATTATTAAATTAAGAGAGAAACCAGAGAGAGAAAACAAAAAAGAATTCTAAAGGTGCCACATAGGATAAAATCCTATGTGTCATTTTTCTAATGGTCGAGTCAAAAAATAGTTACAACAATTATACTAATAGTCCTTCAAATTTATGTAAATAAAATTTTATCAAATGGCATTTGAAACTATAGTTTAAAATTGGAAAATAAAAATTAATTAAATTTAATTGCCGGGATTAAAGAACATTAATACACCAGAATTATTTCATCCCCAAAAGAATCCCCAAAGTTACTACTGGACTTATTTAATTAATTTTTTTTTAAAAAAAAATCTCTCTCCCGATCATGTAAATCAATAGACTACAATTCAAAAAAAAAAAAAACCCAATCATTCAACATTAATGTTATCTTTAAAATCTTCTCTCAAAAACATGACCCTCTATTTTTTCGCCAATAAAAAAGAAAAAAAAAGGGTAGAAAACTTGCCTTCAATTATTACTAAAAGGATGGGATTTAACTATAATTAAATGTTATCTTTTGAATTTCAAACTAATGCATTTATTTGTGTAATATCATATTTACCCAAATAAATATAATCTTTTCTTAACAATATCTCAAAAGTTGTTATAGACTTTATCTTTATCACTGAAATTTTGGATAATCAATTATCATCAATCCCAATTTATCTCTATTTATTTCCACTTTTGGATAGTAAAATTTTGGATAGTAAAATATACTCCAAAACACGTACATTACTAATGGATTATAAATAAAAATAGTAAAATTCATTTTACACTTTTTATATTTTTTTTGTAGATTTTTTATAATGTATATAAATAAATCCCGCGCGGGTTTAACATTTAGTAATAATAATAATGCATCTCAAATTCTAAATCATTTGTGTGCCTCACAATAATAGAAATGTCTGATTCCGGATGTTAGTTTTAGGGGCTTCCTCACCAAAATAAAAAGTTTGTGGTACTTAGTTGTACACTTAGTTTAATAAACACGATTCTTTTTTAGTGCCCGAATTATAGCAGAAATTTTCTTGCTTTCCTAATCGACTCATCGCGCATTGGGTCCAACATTACAAAAAATGGATTCGAGGACGAGGCAACCGGGTTAGTCAATCTGAGTCAATCAAACTCGGTACCCGGGATACGATCGAGATTTAGAAAGGTTTCCGCAACTTGCAATTCTCCGAGGGAGAACTAAATCGTTCTCAAACGATGTGTTCGTGACAGTTTAGCTCTCCTTTAACGATATCGTCAACGCTTGAAATCCATAACTATTTCACGTTTATTTTTTCTTAATAAGTAATGACTCATGAAAGATACCTAAAAGATTTGTAACATAAATGTAACTGCTCTTTAAAACTTACTGTTTCGAACGTGACACTTGAATACTTGATATGCTTTCACAACAATTTCAAAGACCACGGAGAATATTCTAATATCAGTTATGATTATACAATTTTAAAATATTCACAGAATATTGATTGATTTTTTAACAAATTAATCTCAACATGTGACGTGATGTTACAACAGAAAATTTGTAGTAGTTCCAAAATGTCAAGTATTCAATAAATGAGACTATTTGACTTCGTTAGCGGTTACTATACTGAATTGTGGTATATAAGCCCCTTCAGACATGATATAATATGCATTTTAGTGTTGCCTCCATCAGTGTCTTAATTAAAGAGAGAGCTAAAGCTTTGCAGTCTTGTACTACCAAAAAAAAAAAAAGGAAGAAGAGAGAGGTAAAGATGAATATTGGGAAGGGTTAACACTTAATCTTCTTTTCATTTCATTTGATTATAGTATTAATTAATGCATAATCAAGTGGGTTCCACCCCTTCTCCATCTCTGCTCAAACTTTTTGGCTTTTAAATACTACGGTTCAGTTCAACACAAAATCATAGTATATAACCTGTCCTTGTCTCCGAAACCCTTCAAAAACACCTCCCAGATATAGCAATTTCCCGAAGAACAACCCAACAAAAAGAACCTCAAAAGAAAGTAGCCCCTGATTCAGTCCTCTTCTGGACAATTCAAACTAAGACCGATCAACATCGCGCTGCCAGTTTTCTCTCTTTATTTTTTTTCGCCAACAACAACGTTATATATAGTAGTTCTTCTTTTCCTTGGCATTCTGATCAGTAAATCTTATACTATCTCCTTCTTTAGTTAGTTCATCATACCATTTAATAAAAAAAAAAAAAGCCAGTCAAAACGGGTGTGCCATTGTGGATGCTGGTTTTGGGTGCGGAGCGGTTACGACTCGACATGAACCGCTTGCTTGCGTTACTCTTCCACCAGGTGCGGAGTAGTATTTTTCTTTCTTTTTTTTTTTTTTTGATACGTTCAATTAGTTCTCGTTATTCGTTAAATTGCTAAAATGTAGTAGTAATGTATAATTTCTGGGGGAAATGCAGGGAGTACTGGATGAGCAGTTCTTACAGCTGCAACAACTCCAGGATGAAGACTCTCCAAACTTCGTTTCAGAAGTTGTCAACATTTACTTCCACGAGTCCGAGAAGCTCCTCCGGAATCTCCGAGCGCTGTTGTAATTAAGCTGCGCTGCATATTCATAATTATAATACCAGTTCATATCAAATATATAGTAGAGAATAACAGTTAACCAAAGGTTAATAATAATAAATGGAAAAATGAATTAAACTTGCAGGCTGGATAGAGAATTCTCGGACTACAAGAAAATGGGGCTCCATTTGAACCAGTTTATGGGAAGCAGCTCCAGCATTGGTGCTAAACGAATACGAAATGTTTGCGTCGCCTTTCGTGCTGCTTCTGAGCAGAACAACAGAGCTGGGTATTTATTATAGGTTTTTTCTTTTGTCTTTCTTTCTTTCTCTGCATGTGTTCACAGTTTTGCTTCTTTTTCGTTCTAACTTTGAAAAATAAAAAAAATCAATCATCTGAAACCCAGAATTCGAAGTGGCCTTTAAAGATGTTTTTACAACAGTTATGTTGATCTTCAAAGTTTTCACCTTTTTTCTATCACGTGCTTGTGAAACCAAATTTCACCTTTTGTTTCGTTACTATCATTCTCTTTTTCCGGTGAATGAATGTGTATATATAACAGCTCTTTTTCAGAAAAAGGAGTTAATAAAAGTGGGTTTTTTATTTCTTCTTCTTTATGGATTAATTTCAGATGTTTGAGAGCTTTGGAGGTGCTTGAACACGAGTACTGTTATCTGAAGAACAAACTCCATGAACTGTTCCAGGTATACTACAGTTAATTATTCAAACTCATTATTTTTCCTTTATTTCCCAAACCTAAAATTAAATATGATGATTGATGATGGGTTGATTCATGACACACAGATAGAACAACAGAGAATGCTAGCGGCTGGAGTCAGGTATCCAATGCACCACTGAATCAAGCAAAAATGAAAAAAAACAACCAGCTAAGCCCTGAACGTTGGGAAATGGAAAGGCGGAAGAAAAAAAGGATACCAGTCAAATGGATCACCTGGGGGCATTTAATGGTGTTTAGATTTTAAGAAGGAAAGAGGGTTATTTTCCTTTTTGAATGATCTTGTTTTTTGTAGTGTAAATTTTTGGTGGTAGGAAGGAGGAAAAAAAAAAATCAAGAAAATGGAAGTGGCACATCGTATCGTACTTGCAAGGCAAGTTCTGATCTTTGATGATCTGATGGATAATATCAATAGTCTACTGAAAGAAAGATTTCTTTCAGCTTTTAATTTAATGTCTCTTTTTTACTGTTATTATACTACCTCTTTATGAAAACTGCAGCTCTTTATTTTTTTTTTATTATTATTATTTTTTTTGGGTGTAGTAGTAGAACTTTAGTACATTTTTCAGAACTTTCAAAAGTGAATAGTGTGGATGGAAGGAGAAAATTTCTTTTATTTCTTCTTCTGCTTAACAGTTACTCCAACCACTTTTAATTTTTGCAACTGTGATTGACTGATGAAGATGAATGGGAGTAGTAATGTATGGATGAATAATAAAGGGGGAAGATCGTCTTTAATCTACATCAAAATGTGTGTGAGGGAGACTGTTCATTAATGGAAAGAAACATCAATCAATCAACTTTGGGAATCAGAGTCTATTTATGAAAGAAATTTGTCAGCTCAAGATATTGTGGCTCATTAATATGGATTGATGTTTTTGTGTCCTTTTGGATTTTGGTATGTTAACAGTAAGCCATTTTTGAGAATTTTTTTTTTTTTTACTGTTGACTTTTTGAGACTATTAGTAATTTTAGTATAATGTAGAGGGCCTCCAAATTTGGGTCTGCCTGTATCTTTTCTGTTTGGGCTTTTCGTTTAGCCTAATCAAAGAAATAATTTTTTTTGGCTAGTAAGGTCAATATACAGCTATACTTCAGTTTCAATTTTCAAACGCCTCAATAAACTGCTGTATATGTACTTATTCAGCAATAGTAACTAATTACTTTATTGTATGTGTACATCGATATAAATTGTAAAGTCTTCATTCCGTCAACACAGAATGCCCAAGACTAGGCCACAAATCCATCAAGAATGTTAATGCTCCCAGGCTCAATGGGAGAAAAGATAACCCATTTCTATAGATTTCATCAGGAAAGAACAAAAGGCCTTCTAAGAAAAGCCCAAAAGACTTTACATTTTGGTCTCGGAAAGTAATCATGGTAAAACAGAGTTACATGGCTGTTGGACTAAAAATTTCGGGAGGAGCTGTAGTAACCATCTACTGTTCTTCAGTATGAGCTTCAAAAAGACACTAACAACATCCCTCCCAATTGTAACGATCATTTCAAAAACAATTTAAGCTGATTGCAAACTAAACCCCGGAAGGAATTGCTACATTTATTTTAAGAAGTAATTCAGCAGAGAAATGAATGCTAAAGTATACCACAAAAGAGCAATTAGTGATAAAGAGAAGAAATGGAAGGTACATGGTTGAGAATTTCGGATCCGTAGCGCTTGGCACGACCCGTGACAAACCACAGGTCCGGTGTTCCGATCATGGGCTTGCTGGAATCGTCCAGAGGATTGGGAGATTTACACGGTTTAAGTAATCGGAACCGATCACTTAGTGGGTTTCTGATACCTGGTTCTTTTGGCTAACGAGTCCGCAGGGTCGTTGCCAATCTTCTAGTTCTAGGTGTGCAAAAAGTCCATAGTCTAATCTCTAATGATTGGGGAGGAGATATTGGATTCTTCTTGGTACTCAGTATTGTTGGGATCAAAATACATTCAAAGTCTTAAATACAGTTTGTGGCTACAACTTGTAACCTCGCCAATTGGCTGGCTCTAGAACTCTAAAGCATGAAGCAAACATAGGAAAACTTGTAGTTTGCTGTTGAAACATGGACCGCATCTAAGGAACAAAAAAAACCATCAAAAATGCGTTTGCCGGGAGTCGAACCCGGGTCTATTGCTTGGAAGGCAATTATCCTAACCGTTGGACTACAAACGCGAGACGTACACTAGATCGCAACGATACTATAAGATAGTAAAACCTTGGGGCGTAAAATATTGCGAAAAAATCATTTTTTTAACCACAAGTTTTTGCAGTAAAAAACTATAAACTGAAATAAGAAAAAGGAAACGGACATGGCTCTTAATTCATGTCTTGAGAAATGGAATTTAAGAGTAAGAAAATGTTAGCTTGGTCAAATTATCAGGTCTCTTCCATGGAATTTATGAATGTTCCTCGTCCTTTTGCCTTCAAAATAGCATACTGTACTTTCCTATAGCTAGCTTCACTACTTTTACTCTTTAGTTAGTGCTTCCATTATTCAGATGATATAAAAGATGAAATATGGCATCCCATGCAAGTGGATATCATCTATTATATGCACGAACCTTATATTTTGTTGGGCTTTCTCAAAAGTTTAAAGTTTAAATATGCTCATTAACAACGTATGATATGCCAATAACAACAAAAATAAAAATAAAAAATCCAATTGAATTCACGGAAAATTGACCCCCCCTCCCCCCGCCGGAAACAAAAAAAAATTAAAATAAAAAATTAAAATAGCCTTGAAGTAAGGATAAGATTGTTGACCAATATTTCGTAGTGTATCCCATAATTTGTTTCAATAATACTAAAACCTATATTGAAGTACACACTTTAATAAAAAGTTTACGTGGTTGAATTATTAAAATGGAACGAAAATAATATACATTATCTTACAAAAAGGATGACGGTTAAGTGGATATCACAAATGTTGTTCTTTTTGTGGTCGAGTATCGATCCACAGCAAGTTACCAAGTCTGGGAGACATCAGAGCTGTTTGCTATGATTACGGTACATGGTTTTACAAAGAAATTGTCATTACTGTTAATTGCTACCAATAATTAGAACTCTCGAGTCTAAAATGATTCTATAAGCCTAAATCGGTTGTCAGATTCATGGAGTGGTTATATACTTTTTGAAGGAGCGAAGTTGAATAAATGAGAATCATGTTAATTAAGAGGGTAAAAGTTTTGTGATTGTATATAGACTTGGACGGCTGTATTTTAGACATATACGTAAGGCCTTAATCTCCGTCGAAAAACATGAATTTTTAGCTAGCATCAAATTAAGGAAAAATGATTGGGTACATTTGTTGTATTCTGGTTTTTTAGTGCGTCAAGTACTGGTACCCCACTATTTTGGTGCTATAACCCCCGTAGAAATTATCTTTCTCTCTCCAAAATTACTACTTTGCCTCTATTATTGTGTCTGGCTGCACAATCTCACGTGGTACACCAACTGCACTGAATAATTTCTCCAAATTAAGAATATATACCCGAAAGCATCTTTTTAGTATGCACACAGGTGTTGACGCCCTTGCTCAGGCACAACTGTAATATTCATTATTCACTACTCTTTTTCCAAATTGACGATAGTAAATCATAATATTGTCATTTCTCGTGTATATTATCCGTGTGTTCAAAAGCTAACTATCAATTCAGTTAGTCTGAAAGGTCACTCCGTCCACTAAAAAAATGAAAAGCAAAACCTCATTTCAAAAAAGAATGTTTGTTGAATGATACAGACAGTACACATGCGAAGCTAGCTAGGAAATTAACAAAAAGTTAAGAAAAGGGTTGAAGGGAATTTCAAACGTGGAATATTGAAAAGATAGGCAAAGACCAAAGTTGTGTACTTACTCTTGTTGTGAACAATTTTGCAGTGTGTGTATGAGAGAGAATCAAATCTTATGGATCTCTCTTTATATGTATTGATTCCCTGTAAAGTGATTCCACACGTATTTGTTTTGTCAAACAAATATTGTTGCTACTAAGTGATAAGTGTGAGAATAATTGATAACTATAATAATAATAATAATGAAGCACAGACAAAACGTTGTACACCGGCCACACCCATCATTCGTTACTTGAGATCCTAGATGGAAGGTTCGGAAATCCACAATGTAACACAATCACGGTTACGAAAATTAGAGGAACATGTGCCCCATTAATAGGATCACAAAGAAAATACTACTCCCTCTCTCCCAAAATTATTGTCCAGTTTGATATTTCACTTTTAGTACAATTTAAATTAAAAATTAAAACTTAAACTAGACAATAATTATGAGACGCAGAGAGTATTATGTAAGTCACTGAATAATTACGTAAGAAATCATGGAATGAAAGAAGTAAGGCTGGAGAGGGTTTTATAGTGTTATAATACAAACAAATGAATCTTGATCATCGTATTCCGTGGGACATTTTATAGCCAACGAGATGAATTACTTGTAGTACTAAATAAATTTTACTCGTGTCTCCATTTTTTTTTTCCCCCAGTTGCGGACAGGAGAAAGTCACATTGATATAGTGTTTGAAAATGAGGAAAAACAAAATAAAATAACAAATGGATGTTTCTTGTTAATGACTAAATACATGTTAAAGGGGTCAACAGAACCCTTTTTTAAGTAAAGAAGAAGCAGACAGATTACCAAACATCTATTTTAATTAGATGTAAATTCTTTCCACAAAAAAAAAATAGATATATTGTGACAACTTCTCAGGTTTTTGTACTATTATTAGTCATTCTCGTGGGATCATTTGAAAAAACAAATAAAATCTCTGCATTCGTTGGGCGGGAGGAATAATATCTTCGTGTATGCGGTCATCCCAAGCTGATATTTTTAGACTCCATAAACGGTCGTTGCTACTCATTCTGTCCTTTTTCATTTTAGTTTTGTTTTTTTTCTTTGGTATATTACGTCCGGCGCCCGAAATCATTGTGTCGATTAATCTGAACAACAATTATTTTAATCATTGTTTCATAGTTTTGTTCTTTTTTCTATTTTTGAAAGTACTCATCTACTAAAGAGATCTATATTTAAACCTAAGAAAGTAATTCATCATTAACTAAGGTCGGGTGTTTGGATTCAACCTTGAACATAGAGTAATTTGACAGTTTTTACTTTTTACTTGTTATTTAGTCCATCAAAATACTTAAAAAATTAGTCACACTCATTTCAACTACTCATCCTAAATGATTGATATCAGACTTTACAGACGCTCTTATATTGGAATTGGAAACCGGCCAAAATTTAGATAGCATATAGTGAAAAGTACTTGTGCAGTCAACATCTGACAAATTAAATGACGTCAGAGATTGGGGGATATTATGCTTCTGTATGTATAAAATTTGAAATAACTTCACAACGGTGTAGGTATATATAACCAACACGAGATGAATTTTCTGTTTTCATTCGATCATTTTTATGATGTTCAACTAAAAAAATAATCCCTCCGTCCCACAAAAATAGTTTATATTGAGTTTTCAGTTTTGTATTATTTTTAATACAAATTTAAAATAGTACAAGACTGAAAACTTAATGTAGACTATTTTTTGGGACGGAGATAGTAGTACTTTCTTTTTATCTCATAAACGTAATTTACATAGATATATATATATATATATATATTGAATTGTATAAAAGAAAACAACACCCGTACGTGTAAGCCATATTGATAAATGATAACTAAAGGGGAGCGATATTGTATGGAAAGCAAAAGCACCGAATATAAAAAATCACCAAAGAGAAAGAAATGGAGGAACAACATGTTAGCAGTTTCATAACCTTCCATAAAAAGAGATGGTGTGCTATAATAATACCATTAAACGTGTCGTTCTTAATCCAATTCTAATATAAATAAATATAATCATTCACAGACGGATAATCCTAATCAAACATTTATACCCTATCTTCTTTGGTTTTCTTTAAACTAAATTGCATTCACAAACGTTAGATTCGTACAGTGAGTATGTCTGTATGATTGATTCATTTGATTTGACACACCTTCGTCCTTCCATATGATGGCGGCTAATGACACATTGCCCGGTTCTCCTTAAACCAGGTCCCTCCTCTTTTACTAGTTACCATACATAGCCACACTCATTTCCTCTTTGATGGAAGGGGAAAAAAAAGAAAGAAAGAAAAAAGTCTTTTAAGTGCGTGCGTATTGGTGATTTTACATGTGTCTTTTGTTTGCATCTATACGTATAAATTATTCATACTATTGAGAGTTAATTGCATGATGACCACACGAACGTACCAACTCTTCTTTGCATTCCCACAATTTTAGAAGCTGCAATTTCTGTACCTCATTATAATGGGAATTGGATATTATGGAATTATCAAACTCGAGTCAAGACTAAATGCCTATTGAACCATCCAAAAACCAGTGATACCATGTAATTTTGAAATCCCATACAAAATGAAGCATGAACAATGTCAGATCATCTATGGTGATCAAGTCAAAACCCTTCTTATTTGAACAAGCTTTCATGAACTCCGAAAATATCCTTCTAACTAACAATTATCTGAATAATACACCAGCTGTTCGCTTCCCACAAAAGAGAATTATTATAGAAAAGGAAAATTAAGGGACAAATAAGTTAATTTAAAACTCCAAAGAACTATAAAACTAGTTTGTTGTGGAAAAAGAAATCTCTTATTCTCGTTTTTAACTGTAGTGAGATGGCGATAATTTTCATGTTAGCTTTGAAATAAGACGAACTACGTCCGGATTATTCAGATTAACGATTTCGGACATCGAGTGCGTAACATAAAAAAAGAAAAAAATTGGGGAACAATGCAAAATTTAAAGAGCCATGGTGTTTTAAATCAAACCTTAAGGCGGCATTTTGAAAATGATATAAAATAGATGGTGGTCATCCGCAATTAGACACATTCTTTTGATTATAACCCTCTAAATAACGCAATTAATAATTAAGATATATTTGACCCCTTCTGCACTTTTCGTAAGCTGAGTCTATTAATATTCACGCCTCTCTTCACACACTCCACACCGCTCTTTATTCGTTGCTTTCCTCCTGACCTGACTTCTCCGCTTCCCCTCAATTCAAGCCTTTTACATTAATCAGGATTTCAGGCCATTTTCCTTATTCTTCGTCTTCCTAATTGATTTTGGGCATATCAGAAAATCAAATCATAGGGAAAAGAAGGGATTATTATTATTGTGGGCGAAGAATGAAAGGTTGCGCAGTGGTGGAAGAAGGGTTCTTATGCGAGCAAGAGACCCATCTCACCGTTCTGAAAACGTCTCTGTTCTACGCCGGAGATGGGTTCACGGTTTATGACTGCAAAGGCCAGCTGGTCTTCCGGGTCGACTCGTACGGACCGGATTCCGATAAGGGTGAACTCGTTCTCATGGATCCATGTGGGAAGTGCCTCCTCACTGTCCGCCGCAAGGTAACCGTTTTTGTCCCACATTTTGATGATGATATTATTGCTTCACTGAGTCAACTCGGTCACCTTAACAACACTATTGTTCTTTGTTTTAGTTGTTTGTCATATTAGGATTAGTTAACTTAGGACAACGGAAATTGGAAACAAATTGGGTAAAGCTGTTTCCTACCGGAATTTCTTTAGCGTTCGAATCCATTGCCGGATTTTAATAATTTAATACTATTCCGTAGGTCCAGAAATATAATTGTCTATATATTTGCATTCTCACTTTTAAAACAAATTTATATTAAAAAGAAAAATTGAAATTGAGGTATTGTTGTAATGGGACGAGTGACCAAGTGAGTCATTTCGTTTCCATTATCTGCAAGACTTTAATGTAAACTCCGTGGGTCGGCTGCGCGTTTTAAGCTTCTCCAATAAATTAATGAACTGATCAGTCCTATTTGATAAACAATTCGTGGAAGAAGTTAATTAAAGACGGTTGCTTTAGAAAGAATTAATTATTGATTAAGGACTCAATTATTGAGCTGATTAATCAACAAACGAGTAACGGTAATTATATGTTGAAATGTTACTGAGTCGGAAATCGTAATTTGATTGCAGAGGCCGAGTTTGCATCAGAGGTGGGAAGGTTTCTTAGGAGAAAGAGTGGAAGGCCAGAAGCCAATCTTCAGCGTGCGTAGATCATCAATCATCGGACGGTCAGGATTGACGGTGGACATGTACAACAATCCAGGCGAAGAGTACCACATCGAAGGATCCTACTCACAGAAATGTTGTACCATATTTGATGCGCACAAAACATCAGTGGCGGAGATTCGTCGGAAAGTGGACGCATCCACTAACGTCGTACTCGGGAAGGATGTGTTCTCGCTGTGTCTTAAGCCCGGGTGTGACGGAGCATTTGCCATGGGATTAGTCCTTGTGCTAGATCAAATCTACGGGGACGACGATGATCGTAATTCCCCCGCGGAGGAGAACCCCAAAGTCGCCGCGGAGCCTTTGCCCGGCAGTCCCCCGGCACTAACTGCTTAACTGTCGACTAACCAAAATTTCACTTGTTCATTTCCGCTTCGTTTGTTTTATTTTTCTTTTCTTAATTACTAGTACTCCACTAGCTAGTACTATGTTTGAAAAACTCTTGGAGTAAAACAAGTTTCATGTATATTCTGGCTTTAAGGGTTTTATTTTCTCGGGCCAATCGCGGTTTTAAGTTTTTTACTAGAAGATATATAGTGATAGATTAAAAACTGGAACGACATTATTATTGCTACTTGTCATTTTACTACGGTTTGTTTTATACAGGGAATGATTGAAGTTCCTTCTTTCTCTTTTTTTTTTTTTTTTTAATGGTTTGGTTGATATATGGAATATAACTGAATGAGAGAATAATTTGTAGGCTATGTACGTAGGAATGACGCTAATCATACGTATAAGCTATTCTAATATTCCGATTCATTACGTTTTATTTAAGAAGAAGAAAAGAAAATAAAGGACAAAAAGATCACAAAGCTGACTTGACAATTAGGCCAACGCTGCCGGGTTAAGGCTCATTGGCTGGGTGGTTAAACAGTGCAGCTACATCTATGAATTTCTCTGTGGTCGGTTTCAATAGACGTTTTATCATCCCCCAAGATACTAGGGAAAGAATCTTTCAGCAGGCCGAACTTTCTTCAATATGATAATAATTAATTATAATCTGGTCAGATGGACTTTTGATCCTGAACATTATAAAGTGCTTAATGTGCGCCATAGATGAAAATTTGGTCAATAAATGTACGTATAGGAGTGTGAATTGATATAAAATATAAAATGAAACACATTAATGTTGAAAATAGTCTGAAAACGGACAACATTTACGTTTTGTAAAACGGTATTAAAGTCTGGCAAAACTAATGTCACAACATAATTGTGGTGAGGCTCCAAAATAGATATCTCCATTGTGGATTACTCTTTCAATTCCATAGCGTGTGAACTGTGAAGTTTTGAACGTGTAATTGTGTTGATCCGGTTCAAATAAAATTTCAAAAAAAGCCACTCCATTGACAAATTTGGGTGAATTATCTTCCCCACTTTGGTGGTCGGATCGAGAAGTTTAAGACAGATGGATGGAAGCAATAGTTTGAAATTAACTGCAAATTAATTACCAAGTTTGATTATTGGTACATATGTTTAACGTTAGACTTTATCAAAATGTTGTTTGGTTAGGTCAGCCTAAGATAGGATCCACAATGGTGGTAAATAACCACTTTATTATGCTTTCTCTGTCCCAAAATTATTGTCCAATTTGAGATTTCACTTTTAGCACATTTTGAATTAGAAATGAAAATCTAAACTGGACAATAATTATGGGACGGAGGGAATACTATTTATCATTGCGTTGAAAGAGGATATAATACACTTTTTGGTGTTGGAATGTAATTAATGTGAATTCATGATAATACTAAAACTTTTTCATTTTGTTACATTTTTACAATGTAAACCAATGTTGTGAAAAATAGAATAAAAGTGTAATATTGAAAATTTATGGCATTATATTCACAATAGTGTAAACAATTGCGGATGCTTTAAGAGCCCACGCACGATATTATTATTATGTTTTATAAAGTTTGCTAATTATCAAAACAACCTTACTTCTTGTTTGGTTTACTTGCAACATTTATTAGTTTTTTCATGACCGTTACTTCCTTCCTTTCTCGCATTTTGTCAACTTTCTCGAAGATAATTTATGAAGAAGAGGATGGGCCCGAGAAAAAAATGAACCTCCTGCGAAGAGAAACTGTTTGACTTTTTTTTTATATATATATATATATATATATATTGACTGGTTAAAAATTTGATAGTATCTTAAATTTAAGTCGTAAATGGAAGTTGGAACACGAGGTTGAGTGACACATTTCATGTACACAGTCTAGATCAAATTTTATAAATTGTTTTACTATTTTGCTTTGAATTTTAATATTAATAAATAGGATCATTGTTTTGTGATGAAGGAATACCCTCTTTCTATTTAGTCTGTCCCAATTACTGCTTCTCAATTACATGAGCTACGGATTCTGTTTTACTTAATTGAAAACTGACGGAAAAATTCTCAATTTGCAAATGTCGTGAACTATCTGTCTTCATTTGAATATGAATGTTAAGAATTTCAGAAAAAAAAAAAAAGACTGAATTTGAAAAATGTAATGGACTAAAACTGTCAACCTCTCCATATCGTACAATGCCCACACAAACTTCAACTTGTCCGTTTAGAGTTTAGAATTTGGGCTCAAAATGTGGGTTGGATCATCTCAAGCCTCACATTTCAAATCTGTTGTTGACTTTATCAGTGGCCCTTAGTTTCCCATCTATGCGTACAGTCCAAAAGTTCTGTAATCCTACCCTAATATGTTACGGGTTCAAAATCACTGTCCCATGCTCCCAGTAATTCAAATATAGTGGAACTGCAAAAAATTTCTTCCACCAGGTATTTTTCATTAGTTCATAAACACTTCATTGTTTGAACCTAATCATAGTTAATCTGATTTAATTTTTAACACTAACCAAGTATTTGTTAGTCATATATTTTATATTTTGTGTATTAGAGCATCCTCAATATTTTTAGTTGTTTAAGTAAAAAAGTTGATCCCAACTTAAACACGTATACATTATTTTAAACACGTATATATTGTAATCGAATGACATGTTTTTCAAAATTTTTGCATAATGATATTACCAATTTATGTGGTCTCACAAGAATTAGCATTGGACATATTTATGTTAAGCGGTCCATCTCTTACTTGCTTTTTTCAAAAAAAAAAGTCGCGTAACACACAGAGGAGGAGGGTGTTTATACATATTACTTTCCACAATGGTGTGGAGTAAAAATGCTGGTAATTGGCCCAACTTTCAACGCTAGTTACACAGCATAGCGGTTGCTCATAGTATGACATTATGTGACTCACATACACGTCATTGTGGAGACGCCATTACATGTGGAAGTGATTAACTTGAATACTAATTTTGGATGAATAGGACAATTTTGGAGGAGCGAATATTTCATCGCAAGAAAGTAAAATTAACTAACTAGAATGCCCAAGCAAATAATAAATTCAAGAAAAAGCGTAATAATATGAAATAATTAATGAATTTGGATAAACTATATCTGTACAAAGAGAAAGTTGTATGTACTTCTTTGGCAAACTGGTCATGGAATTGAAATGGGCAAATGCCTTTTGCATGACATTTCTTGAGGAGTTATGAAATTAAAAACAGGACAACCGCTGCATAGATAATGTGAATTAATGAAAAAGATCCTCCAAACCGGTAATCCTGCACCAAAATTGAAGGAAATCAGCTTCACTACTTCAGCATTATCCAAAACTCAATGTAAGATTGGAGGAAAATGTTTGGTTTAGTTCAAGATTAAAACACACTAATCTTAATTACCTTTAAGGAAGGCGGTGCAGATGAGGGTGCTAATCCTTTGAATCCAATATCATAAGAAATGCTGCCATCAGGTTTGAACAATCCGAAATTCCTCTCAGAAGTTGGCCCCGGCTTGAGATTTTCGTTGAACAGGGCGAAAATGTATGCCCTGACTGGCATCCTAGGTCTGTAAGGCGTCCCTTTCCTCAGCGAAAGCCGCTTGCGCAAATTCTTGTTGTATGTCTGGGCGTTTTTAAGTGTAGCTCCAGCTTCATTTTCATCTCCCTTTGAAGCCCAGCCTGTTTCCGAAACAATGACAGGCATCCGGCGAAACCCTACCTTTTCCAGGGCAGCATAAGCTGCATCAATCTGAGCCTCAAACATGTTGTCATAATGCAAGTTAGTTTTCGCATCGTAGATTCCTGGATTCTTTTGGAAAAGCGCGTAGTTGATGTCAATGTGTGAAGGGTCACTCATGTAGGCTAGAAATGGATAGGCATTAATGTAAAAAGGGGTACCAATCTGCGAAAAGAACTGCAACAGTGGCCTCATGTATGGAAGAACACTCTCTTTGAATGCACCTGCTGATGGAGGAAATGTTGTTGCAAAAACAGCCTCTGAATGAGGGCTCGAAACCTCGATTTTGTCAGCGAGATGAACCTGCTCAAGGGCATGGTATACATTCCTTACTGCAGGGACAAGGACTTCCCAGAGTTCTACATCACCACCACCTAGGATCTCATTCCCAACAGCTATTCCTTTGATGCTAGTTCTAGGCAAGAATGGTTGCACATTTTCCTTTATCCAATCTACTGCCTTATCTGGATAAACGCTTATGTCCCTCAAAAATTCATTCCCAAGTCCTACGATGATCTCAATCCCGGTATCTTCAAACGCCTTCAAGACTTCATGATCAGCGTCGTAGATTCTGATGTTCCTGATTTTTGCTGCTTTGAGAAGGACTGCAACAGTTGCTGGTGGAGGTAGGTTGTCGGCGATCCTGCCGTAATTAACTCCATATGTACCAGTGAAGCCTTGTACTACTGCAACTGCCAATTAAATAAACACACAAGCATGAGCATATTGGTATAATCTTATGATATGAATCAGGCTATATAGTGGTTCTTCCAATCTGATATGATGAATAGGACAGTTCTGAGTGTCATTCATCTTTGTGAAAGACTAAATATTTTGATGCTAAATGTATTATCAAAATGGCTATTGAGTTTTGCTTCAAAGAATCCTGAATATACTACAGGGGGATATGAATGAAGTAAAACTAGAATTCCATTTTCTGCATTTGAAATAAGAAAAGAAATGGATCATATTGTAATCAGAAATTTCATTATATACTCTGATCATTTGAGCACCAATGACTTGAGAGTTGAGACGTATATGTGCACTTAAAAGCAGGATAAGATGCCTAAAAAGAGCTTATCGATCTGCAGTAATAATAAAAAAGAAATGCGAAGCTTACCATTTGGAAGAAGAACATTGAAGAGGAGAAAGCAAACGCCCAACGGCAGAGAAAATGCAAAGCGCCAGCCCATAGGATGAAAAATGGAACTCCGAATAGCAATCTTGATTGGATGCAGAAAGATTGGGCGTAGGTCGCCACTGTGGTATTAGAATGCTTCCGAAATCGGAACGCCATAGATGAAGACCCACAAAAGCAACTAAAAAAGATTCTAAACCTTAATGTACAGATGAATGTCAAATTCAATTTCTGAGGGAATAGAAATGTATGGCTCAATGGGCTTGGAATAGATTCCAAAACCTTTTCTTCCGTTGTTGTCAAAACTTTTCTCCATTGCAAAGTTATACCTTTTTGGAATTTCCATCCTATTGTCAACAGTATCTAGTGTCCATCCCAATGGCATGAAGCCTCTTCATCTGATTTTAGTTATATCTTCTATGAATCTGATTAGGGAGGACTCCACAGCTCTGCCAAAGTTTAGAATCCCACATTCGAACAAACTCCTCAGGGTCTGGCAATGGCGGCTGAGGGGCAGTTATCGATTGAGTGCAATGGAGGACTTCAAACTCCACACGTTAGCAGCCTTTGAGGAAATGATGTAAAGCTTAATTCACATCAAAATAATTAAAGGAAATTTCAATTGCCGTAACCATGAAGATTCATGTTATCCAACCCCGTTATAGCTTCTCTGCAAGCCTAAAGTATGGCAGAATCAGGCTAATCTATATTTCATTACAGCAGTGAAGACTAAACATCAATATGGAAAACCATTCCATTTCATTTGTTCTCCTCGATATAAAGAGGCATCAAATTGGAATTCCAGAAAATGCAGCATAAATACCCAACATTTTCTGGGACAAGTCGTGAACGCAGCGAGTGGATGAGAAGTAAAATATAACAGAAACTAAGTCATACATTTAAGTAGTTTACTCCGCAAAGAAATTACACAAGAAACTGACCGACACTACAGGGATCATAAGACTAGAAAGGTCATCTCCTATAGCTAAAATCTAGAATCTAAACTAATTGACATTAACATTATGAAGATAGTTCAAAAATGTTAGAATAAGGAGAGTAGTATTAAAGTTCCTAAAAGAGATGGAGATATGACACATTCAGCAGGCAATAGGTGCTGGAGATGGACCTCTTGGTGCTTCCCGTGGTACTGCTTGATCAACCTTGCCATTTTCCATTACACCCTTCATATGATTCTCTCTCTCATCAGCCATTGTCACTGCATTCTTTTCTCCTTCAGAGAGAACAGTGCCAGCAGTCTTCTGTTGCTCTACTCCAATATTTGCTGCCACTGCATTGTTTCCAGCCTGGTTTTTCTCTGCAGCATCTGCACTCACAACTTTTCCAGCCTCAGAGTCTGGTTTCTCAGGCTCTTCAGAATCCGGTTTCTGTTCATTTTTCCCATCTGTAATTGGAATTTCAGCAATAACCTTCTCAGATGGAAGATCAACCACTTCTGCCACAGTTGCAGAACCCTCATTTTCAGTCTTCTGCATCCCAGCATCAGCTGCACCAACTTCCTGGAGACCATTAACATTCACTTTAGGTTCAGGGTCATTTCTAGCTTCAGTGCCATTGCCCTTGTCCTGAGGTGTCTCAATGTTATCACCATGTTCACCTCCTCCATCATCCTTCTTCTGATTTTCGTCAGCAGCTCGCATCTCAACATCATTCTTTGGATTTGCCTCAGCATCAAGCATCTCTTTATCTTTCTTGTCCTCGGGTTCACCATTGGCAGATTCCAACTCTTTGCTATCTTTCTTCTCCAATGACTTTCGAGCACGTTTCTTTGGTTTCTCCTTGTCAGTAGAGGGAGGAGTAGCCTTGGCCTTCTCACTGATTCTTGCTGATCTCCTTGGAGTCTCACCTGTGCTCCAATCAAATTCTGAAATAGCTGGACCTCCAGGGTGTGACTTTAGGTACTGATCTAATTGTTTTCGGGTGGTTATCTCCTCTCCGGTGGGAGCCACAAATACAACCTCACTTTTCTTTGGGGTTCCAGCTTTCTTCGGCATAAACTACAAAGCAACAGGAAAATCCATGTCATGAAAAAATAAGAGTCCAGAAAAACTATTCAAACTCAGAAGCAGATATAGAACCAAGAAAACTCCAAGAAAGCTGCAAGGCCGCCAAAATCTATGTATTACCCAAAATCATTAAGGAAATTGAATTTTAGGATACCACAACAGAGACACAATTATCTAGGAAGGAATCCAGATCAACCAGCTGGTAAGTAGTAGTTCCCCAAAGTCTGATAAAAGAAAACAATACAAACTCCAGATAATTGTCGTAATTGGAGATGGACAAGAAGCACAAAAGTTGCAGATGGTGCATTATTAATATCACTAATTCGTACAGCAACCATTTTAAAAACAAGACAGCTAATCTAACTCCAATTTTTCAACTTAAAATAAATCCATACCTAGAAAAGAATCGCTATACCACTGCTCAAAGAATTCATAGATAATGGAAACACAAAAAGATATCTTTTAGTAAAGATGGTTCTACAAATTTTAATTTTAAGGTGGTTCCAAATAATCTCAGCTGTTATGGAGTAAGAGCATGAACCCCGGCCACTCGCCACCCCTCTATATAAATACAGAGTATAGCTGAGTTGGGGTATGAACTTCCTCCATTTGCCACAACTTTACAGAAAAACAGAGTATGCTAGAATGAGGGTTTAAAAATTTAAGTACTAAGTTATGAACAAAAGAAGCCACAGATCGCAACCACCAAACATTTCTTCAAGCCGGAAAACAACCAAAAAAAAAATAAAATTCCCAAAATCATAGCTCTAAAAATCTTAACAGCAACCTCCTCTTCGTCAACTCAACAAGAAAAAGTTACTAGGCAGCAAATATGAGTAAAAGGAATTTCTCTTCTTCAGAAAAATATCTTCATAAACACACACCATAAATAAAATTTGTAGGAGACACCAGAAAAAATACAGATTAAAAATAAATAAAGAGTTGCAGGACCTATAGAAGTAAACTAAGTGTTTGTCAAAGGAAAAAAAAAAGGAAAAGAAAAGAAAGGAGAAGAAGAAGAAGAAGAAGAAAGGTGCGTACCAATTTCTTCCAAGAAGCAGGGGCAGGCAGCTCAACTGACACAACTTCTTCTTCCATGTTCACAACACCGGCCATTTCTTCAGCTGCAAATCAAACCATACCATCTTCAAAACTCAAAAAACTTCAAATAAAAAAAGAAATAAATTCTGTTTAAACAAAAACAAAAATTTTCACCCAAAACTACCTAATCAAAATTTACAACAAATTCCTAAACATCATTCTCAGCCCAACAAACAAAGCAAGAGTTCAAAAAGTACAAAACACAAAAGAAAAACATAGTTACCTCAAAAACTGAAGGATTAACAACAAGGTAAACTCTAGAAAACTGCAGCAAAAGTTTGCAAATCTTTCAAGAACACACGGAAAGAGAGATGTAGATATTATTATGAACAGAAGCCAAAGGTGAGTATATTTGGGGGAGCCTATTTACATTCCCCCAAAGTGAGGGACACGTGTCAGCTACGTGATGGTAGTGGATTTGTCCTTTTCTCCGTCTCTTAAAATTACAAAAAAAATAAAAAAATAAAAAATAAAATAAGGGCTCGTTTTGCTTTAGAAAAATAAGAAGAAAAAAAAAATCTATGAGAAGATCGAGAAGGTGCAGCCAACTTTGCCAACGTGTCGGTGTTATTTTGGGAGTTGTTTTTGGATTTCGTGATAATTCTGGCTGTTCGGATAAACGGATCGTGTGCTAAGTGGGTTTACCTCACTCACGCGCTAAGAAAGTGTGTGTTGTGGACGAATTGATATCTAGCCGTTGGATTTTGGGTTGTGTGGACACGGGGGTTGGATTGAGAGTGGGGAGAATATGAGAGGCGAAACATGGATGGGACCGGTACTTTGGATGTGAAGTGCCGGAGCGGGAAAGAGGGTGTTGTTTATGGATAACGTGCCCGAAATACTTTTGTGAAGTGGATTGAAATCTTTGGGGGTTGAGTTCCGTTGCGTAAGGCGTTGCACGTGGATTCCGTTTTCAATCTCACGTGCTTACTTCAACATGGTTCACGCCGTTAAGAAATGGGTTGTTTTTATTTTGAGATTAGGAGTTTACTGTTTAAGACTCACGTCGTTAAAAGGACATACTTGGCGGGAATCCGAAAGACATAGGCGGGATGGAGGGAAAAAACTTGCAAACGTAAGTCACGTGGATCGTCGTGGTCAAAGGTCAAAATAGTTTAGAAGGTTTACGATTTTCATGGTACTTTTTCATCCCGAACTGTCGGGGTGAGATTGGGTACAACTACAACCGTGGAGACTAGAGAGTAGGTGAAAAATTAACTATTGAGCGCCAGGCCCAATTCGATTGGGGAAATTTAGCCGGAGAATTCTTCTTCATACTACTAAAATGAATTATAAGCCCAGTTCAAATTTGTTAGTTGGGTTGAATCAACGTACCATTGTTGCTGTTGTTTCCATTGCTACGCCTTTTTTGATATTGGTTCTCTTTAGGCCCAAGGGTCCTTCACAGTGTGTTATCAAGTGTTTTTGTACTCCCATCTCCCCCAAATGATCTCCTCTATTGAGTGATTTTCAATTAAATGAACTACACCCAATATTTGAAGGCGAAATTGGATAATTTACATGACATTATGATAATCTCTTGAGACGATAACATCACTCATAGAAATGTTTTACTCGGAGATGTCTAACTAAGGGCCTGTTTGATAATATCGCTTATTGTTCAAAATTAATTCATTAAACACTTTTTGATTTTAGAGTGTTTGATAATAAAAACGGAATCTCTTAATGAATCAAATAATGTCAAAACTGCAATACAAAATATAAATAAATAAAAGTTAGATTATTAGTTATTCTATTACGGTTTAATGAATTCAACATTTATATACTGTAGTATTAACCGTTAAGAATTAAACATTCCTTTTATCAATCAGGCCATAGAGGTTTATTTATGATATTATTTTTCACTATTTCATTTAAGAAAGCTAAAAATGGAGGAACCTGGAAAAATTTCAAAATTGATTTCAAATTACCAGAAAAGTAAGAAAATTTTCAAAACTAGAATATGAAATTCGATCTTTTCTGAGAACCAAGTCTCTAAATTTTCAAAACTAGAATATGATATGGAATTATCTTTTCTGAGAACAAGTCTTTTTGGATATTAAGGGGAGACGATTTTCGCAGTCATGATCACTACTCCCTCCGTCCCATAATTATTGTCCAGTTTGGATTTTCAATTTTAGTTCAAATTGTACTAAAAGTGAAATCTCAAACTGAACAATAATTTTGGGACGGAGGGAGTATTACAACTACCACAATTTGACAGAAAATCTTCAAATGAGGCGAATACGACCCTGTGCTACTATTGGCTGAAGGAAAGAAAAGGGAATCTCAACAAGTGAATGCTAAGCTTCTAACTGTCAATGCACAACCAGCCTCGATCACAATAGACACTGGTCTTTTAAGCTTCAGATTCTTTTCTATGATAGACACATTTGCTGCAAGTCTAGTCCAATGTACTAACTCCGATAGTGCAAGACCATGTAGCCATTTTAAGTAGGATCATGATCATATCACCAGACTCAATTTTATACACTATCAAATGTATGCAAGCTCAATCAAAGTCAAAATCATAAGAAGTTTATGCAACGACGACTCAGCCAATTTTAAGAAAGAGTGCACATCAAATCAAGCATCTATCAACCAGAGGGTCTCCAATAATACTAATATATCTTTAAGTTATAAATTAGTATCATATCACTACCTCTTCACAACACTAGATTCCACCACATTGTTAAGGTAAGCAGATAAATAATATACATCAGAATATAGTAAGCGTTCCTCTTAGCTCTTCAGCTCCTACTCTAGTATCTTATAGCAGCATGCGTAGAACAACAGCTTCAGCGGAAGCAAAACTAATAACTAATTAGATCAAGAGCCACATAGGACAACAGCTTCAGCGCGGAGCAAACTAATTAGATCAGGAGGCTGCAGTAATTGGAGGCCTATGCGAAGAACCTCCTCCAAAGTAGTTTGTGGATGAACTACCACTATCAGTGCCAATTTCATAGTGGCAAGATCCTTTTTCTTCTTCTTCTTCATCTTCTTCAGCATCCCATAAGAATCGAGCATACGAAGCCAGCACATAGCTGCAACCAAAAAAGCCATCTCTTAATTTCAGACACCAAGTTAAAAACAAAACACAGATCATATCCACCAAACCTTCAGCCAAATGAGAACACAATTTACAACTACAAGGTATAAACTAACCGAGCATAGCATGATTTATGCTAACCTAAGCCACCAGCATCATTAACAGATTTTTAAGGAAAATTAATAACTAATGAAAGAAGTCCCTCATAGGATCAAAAGGTTCATACTACTACATAAGCTAAGCAAATAACGATGCATATCCCGTGAGCAAATAGAAGTTTAAATTGTATCCGCAATCAGAAAACAATGTACCAAGCAAAATGTATTAATTAACACATCAAGATCAAAAGATTCATACTACTAAAAACTAACACTCCCACAGAGGGAATGAAATTGTTGTAGGAAAGGCTTACCAATCATTAGGGTCCGTCTGAATGGCTTGGTCAAAGTAAGTTTGGGCACGCGAAGCATTTTTTTGTGTTTGCCATATTAAATCAGCATAGAGTGACAACACATTAGCATCACTTGGGTTGGCCAAGATTGCTCTTCCACAATACTCTTCCGCTTTGGGCAAGTCCCCCTTAACCTGTTCAATTAATTCACCAAGAAACGATCATTACAATGTAAATAAAATGCCAATTAAACCTTCTAACCAAATCATCCCCATTTTCCTTCGTAACCTAGTAATCAATATTTTTCCTTTCCTAGCTAATAACCACTATTTTCAATTGGAAGCAATGATCTAAAATTATAACTGAAAACAAAAGTTAGAAGTTACCTCTTTTAAGAACTTGGCATAATTGGCTAGTAATAAAGAATTGCCCGGATTAGCTTCAATCATTTTCTGATAGTAGGCGTCCGTACTGTCATGCCCGTGCCAGCTATTAGAATCTTGAGAATCTGATCCGAACCCAGAACCATCACCTCCATTGCCACCGCCTCCACCGCCACCACAAACTTTTCCTCCGCTGCCACCCACCGCACCACCGCCAACAACGAGCGTCTGCAATACCTTCTCCTTTCCATTCACTACGGCACAACCCTCCTCAGCCGCCACCGCCGCCGCCACCACAACTGTCTCCCCAAGACCCGAAGAGGATAGGAGCCGCCCCATCTCCTCGTCTTTCTCCTCCCTGATTTTCATCGGCTTTGGCGTTCTGGGTCGCAGAATTCTCACCTTTTCTTTCTTAACGCCGGCGGCATGATCCTTAATTTCAGATTCACAAAGAGTGAAGCTTGAAGGACTTCTGCCATGATAATCCTCAATGCTGAAAGAAGCAGAGAACGAGATGGATCGGGTCCGAGTGAGCTGGGGCAAATTCTCCGGTTCAGGAGAGGATCCGGTTGAATTTGGCACCCATGAATTCAGAATCGGTGAGGATGAGCTCCTCAGTAACATTTTTTTTTCCCTTTGAATAGACTCCTCCGTCAGAGGAGAGAGAAAAAGAAGAAATGGTTTTGGCAGGGTTTTATAGAAGAGTTGACGACTGATTACTGTAATCACTAATGATGAAATCTTGACTGTCAATAGCAATAACAGAAGGGAACGAAAGTTACGTGTACGGTTAAGATTTTTAGCCGTCGAAAAGATTTTTTATTTCCTGGCAGATTTTGGTTTGTATACGGGAAGGAGCAGCGTAATGCCTAGGGTCCCGTTGGTTGATTTCACTTTCTGATTGACGGTCCGTTTGATTGTGAACGGACGGCGTAAGATGAGCCTGCCAAAAATGACAGCTCTAGAGATAATGGGGTTATTATGGGCGTCAATGGGTTCGTAATGCTTCCCAAACAGCTTCCGCCACGCGTTCGGTTGAAGCCAAATGACTAATTGATAAATAGAAATAATGAGAATGAAAATGAAAGATCTTATACATTATTTATTATTTCATTATTTGTCAAGCATCATACATTTTGAGGAAATCACAATCTTTGATGGTAGAAAATAAATGTAATTGAAGGTCATGTATTCATGACGTTTTCAGTTTGACGTGCAAAATTAACCATTTGGAATGGTTGATACTTTGATAGGTATATTTCTTTTCGTCTCCAGTGATCCTCACAGCAATAGAATCAAGTTTATCGACTTGAAAAAAACAGCGATATTTTATTTTTTTAAATTTTTTTTTTTTTTTTTGAGGGTGGGATGGAATAATTTCTGGTGGGCAGTGCTTCGTGATTTATAATCATATGGAAGAACAAATGAAATGGACCCTAGATTTTTCAAGCTAGACAAAGACCACTGAGGGACTAACGGTGCCGGCCATCAATACCTAATGTTGTTCTTGAATCTTTACGCATCAAATATCAGAGATTTCTACTGAACCTTTCACATAAGTTCGCCACATATGATTCTGTGTGACAGAGGTCTCGAATTCAAATAACATTGGTCACAATTTGGTGTGTCCTAGAGATGTGTTATTATCGGTTCTTGCACCAAAACAAGTTGGTGTGACAGTAGTCTATAATCAGTTCTTGCACCTTGGTGTAACAAAAGTCTCGAATTCGAGGAAATTTTGATGGCAACTTATTCCCTTTTTATCTTTTTTCCAGTCTTGCACCCATTTCTCTATTATTTATGCGCAAGATTTTTCAGTTAGGCACTAGCTTTTTGCTCACACTTGATTAGCATCCATGAGCAATCAGTTATTGTAAAGAATGAACCCACTAGGCACCAGTAGTAAGTACAGTACAGCTATCGTTTTCTGCTGATCACCTAATTGTCCCAAACATACACATGAAGCAGCATCTTCCACTTCCCAAACCCACCCTTACGTGTCAAAGTGAAGGGGCTTTTCCAACAGGGATCAGTTTCATTATTATGTGAGCCTTGTGTTGGAAAAACTGCCAAATCTGTCATCTGATAAACTGTAGGACGAGAAGCCATAAGAAACAAACCAAACACTAAACCAATCGTAGAGCAACAGATATACTTCTTCTTTGGAGCATTAGGCAAATAAGTGTACAGAACCTTGGAATATAAAGAAGATTGAATTCAGACAAACAAATTTTGGTATTGACTCCTGTCACTGTGCACAATGGTATCTATCAGTAGAGTTATCTTCAACTCTAATGAGATTAAGTTGAATTATGTAGAGAGGTGACCACCTGAATTCCCCAAGTAAGACACCAACATGTGAAATGGACTCTGGAGAGAGGCAACCACCCAATTCCAGATGACTTGCAAAACAGAATAGTTACCACGAGCTTACCGATCTAGTGATACATGTATGACACATCAATGTACCAAAGCAACATAAGAGTTCAATCCAGTCCTACTCTTTCTATAATGGTAGATCTTATCAAGCATGGGATAACAACCACCCTTCGTTCCATCATTGCGACTCAAGGAATGAGCTCTCTTCCATTGTATGAAATGCGCATAAGGGGATGAAGATCCCTCCGTTAAATGCGTGTAAGGGAATGAGACCAGACCACTCCGTGACACGACCCAACAATAATATCAGAATCCAACATTAATACAGGGATGAAAAGATTACCGGCTGATGTTCAAATACTTTCTTGAGTAACACAGACTAGGGTTAACAAGGACAAACCAAAACCTACTTAAATTTTCACTCTTATGGACCCTTTTCGACATTAGCAGTTACTATCTCCATCCGTTCTACCCTAATGAACTAACAGTGTTTATTTGAAACCAATTAATACCTTAATACATGGAGCCCTGTGTTAGTTACTCATGCCAAGTATTTGATTGAGTTGGCTCAGTGCGGGTTCAAATGGATAACATAGCTGAGATGCCTCGGCACTAGGCTTGCACACAGATGTGAACAGTACAAAGTCCTTCAATATAAATCTGCGCCTCATTAAGTTTAAAAACAAGCTTGGAAAATCCTAGCTGACATCCGTATGCTGATTACGGTAACCAAAAGAACTTGATAAATCCACGAGCAAAAAAATAGTAGTAAACAGAATTACACTCAGGAAGAGAGATATGTATCCAATTATCATAATCTGTAACCAGGAAAAAGATAGATACACAATCCAAAACTGTAAGAACTATAAAAAGCTAATTTTCTCCTAAATCATCATCCCAATACAACAATGACCACTTAACCTTTCCATAGTATGCCTAATCTTGTACAAAATATACAACAAATGCTTACAAGATCACTTTCTAAACTGCGATCCCTTGTTTGGCCGACCGTTGTTTCCCCCATCCCACACACAAGACCAAAAGAACAGAGACATCCAGAAGAGAACGGCAAAGAAGATCCGAACAGCATCTTGCATTTTAGAGAACCTTGACATTATGCCTGATGGAGAAAAACTAGACTTAGCATGAAATACCTCCAATCACAAAATTATTACATGCCAAAATGACAACCAACAAACACAGTGGAAAACTACTTAAGCTACAACCACTCAACATTATCTAAAGGAAAAATTGCAAAAATTACAGCCGCGAAGTTCGTAAATTCAACAAGATGTAATGTAGGCATAAAAGACAGCCCAACCGAAACTGACGCTATATTTAAGACGGTACGGATTCCTGTTATCAACAGTAATCACCATCACAAACATACAAATAAAAAAAAATGCAAAACAAACCGAAACAAATAAGATTACATTCAAAGTAGCTAGCATTTCTAAATTCAGTGAGATAAGGCAATCTAATACTAGAATAAATCCGAGCAACCACAAAACTAAACCAACATCATCACTCCAGGTCCATGCTATTCAATATTCATCTCCTCGCACTGGTTAAGTATGTACATAATTAAAGCAATACCTACATCCTAATTGAGATATTTAAGTTGCTCAAAAGACAATAACAATCAATAATACACAAGCCCAAACAAATGAGGAATAACAAACGCGGGAGCAATTACCGGAAGAATCTCGGCTATCTCCAGGAGGTGGGTCCAATTCTGGTGGAGATGGTGAGCCAGGGCTGGCGGCACGGCAGTGACCGGACCGTGTTCGGCGATTCGAAGGTGAAGATGGAAATGAACGGCGAAGATTACAGTCGACGGAGGAGCTCGTCAGCAGATAATAATTGCTGGCAAACAGATTACGGCTATAGAATGAGACCAAGGAAGTGAGGACGGGAGAAGGAGAACTTTTGTGGTGGAATTTCGAGACACGTGGCGGTGGATAGTGGTGGTGCCGCTGCACGGTGGCGGGAAGCATACGAGTGGCCATCAGTATCGATTAAGCTCGTTGGTTTGGTTCAGAGCATTTGGGGACGATTCAATTTACAAGTTACAAAGTTACAACAGTATCGGGCCTGTTACTTCAATTTAAGCACCCAGCCCAAAATCATCATTTATACTACTAGCCCAATTTGTAAAGTATATGCTAAAATTTACAGCCTGAATGAACCACGAATCGGATTTACCATTAATTTAGGCAAGGAAATGATTTTTCTCAAAACTCAAATTAGACTATTTTTTTTTTGGACGGAAGGAAGGAGTATAAATGATCACGAAAATGTTCCTCAACTTCACTTCAATCTTTGATGTCGTCCTGGAGTTCAAGATGTTTTTAATCTGTCCATAACATTAATAACTTTTTTTATCTGATGGATAATTCCACTTTGCTTAATTAATTCATCAAACTCATTTCTGAAATGATCTTGGCTGTGGCAATGAATACGGATATGTTGACATGATTTTATATGATATGAAGCAATTAATATCCATGTTATTGGCTGAATTTTCGAGCAAATAACTACAGGAAGATATACTTCATTTATGTAAGAATTAAGATCAGCCCTTCACTTCAGTCATCATCTTGTTGGGGAGGAAAAAGAACAGTAAAAGAGCTACAACAATATAGACCCACCACCCGGGAAATTAGGAAATGGACGGCCTCCATTTCTGACTTCAATAGTTCTTCAATTCATTTTGTTTCTGTTCCACGGATTTCTCTCGTTGAATTTCGCAGATTTTGTTAAGCAGAGATCAAATTATACACACTTCAAAAGGTTATTCAGATTTACCTGGATCAAAAAGTTATTAGTTCGAGTGTGATATATATCTATACCGAAACACAAAGTTATGTAAACCAAAAAAAATAAGCCGCAATCTATACAATTGATGGAAAGTATAAGAAATTAGGAGTTGCTTGAATTCAGATGACGAGTTAAAGAAAAAAAAAAAGAGGTGAAGTGAAAAGATTTGAACAGAAAGTTAAAAGTGATATTTTTCCACTTCCTTTTCCATGCAGTGTTTGTCTTCTTGCAAACACATGCGTGCCCTCGAAACAGTGCAACATATTGTCCCTTTTCTTTGGTTCGTTCTATCATCTATGCTTGAGTAATCCTTTGCTGTTCCATCCAGACATGACACCTCCATGGATGTTCCTTCGTTTTTGTGATATTCATCATCTTACATTTTTTGCCTTTCCATTTGATTTAGGTTTGAAAAAAGTTGTGCCCACATGTAAGACCCTCTTTCGGAAAAATTAAGTGCAATTAAGACACTGATAGAGAAGGATCATAGAAGTTTTCACTGTTCACTGCAACTGCTTAAAAAAAACTGCAGAAATTTAATAAGCAATGATCATTATCTTTTTTGCATACAATGCAAGACTTTAATTAGATACAAAATAAAGAAGCAATGATAATAAGAGATTAAAGCAAAGACATCCGAACCCAAGACTTGACTGACTAACATTAATCGATCCGTGATCATTATTAAGGTTGAAACAGCTTATTCCCGCATCTGCATTTCCATGAAAGAAGATAGTAGCTTCCATCCTCTCTGTGAGCAGCTGGCTTGGCTGTAGTAAAAGGCTTGTTATGATGGGGTGGAATAACTAAAGTAGCCCTGCAAGGTCTGCAATTCATGCATTTGTTCACACAGCCTGGTGGTCTGGATCCCAACCTCATTTTAACCTGCTGAAAACCCCGATCATCATCTCCATCATCATCATTAATCTTGAAGCTTGATGAAGAAGAGGTTGTTAATCCCACAACCGATGTACCTGGTAACAAACATTAATAGTTCGACAAATGTTTTAAGAATTACGGAAGAAAGCATACTAAGTAAAAAGAAGACCATCTCATGATATAATGATTAAATTTTGTTACCTGATTGGGAAGGAATGAAGGCCATGACTGAAAATAGAAGGATGGCTGCAACCCATAGACTAAAATGGTAGCATTTTCTTGATGGAGTAGACATCAGAAATGAGAGTGACAAAGATGAGATTGATTTTGCACAATGTGGTTATATGATATGGTTTTCTTTCTTTTCTTCAAAGTAAGTTGTGATGTGTGCAGGAAGGAACAAAAGAATGTCAAGAAGAGGATAGCGGGAAGACCTATGTAGGATTATAGGTGTGTTTGAAGTGAGGGGAATTGAGGTCCAAAAAAAAAAAAAATGTTTCAAGAGACAATGTTAGATGCTGTTAACTATACTACTGTTTCCAAAATGATGGTAGGACTACTAAAATCAATGGCTTTGAAGCCTCTCACATTCATTGAAATCATCATTCATCTGATGTCTCCGGTTCCGAGGTAAAACAAGAATTTGTTACCACAATGCTACTTTCTTTGTTTGGGAAATGTTGAAATGGACTTTCTAACTTGTAAAAAGTGCAAACTCCCGAATAGAGTATTTGACGATCCTCTGTGCGTGAATTTTTTTTAGCATCCACACGAAGCAAAGAAATGGTAGTATCCTCAATCCAATGGATGAAGAAAGGTCTAGTACTTTCATTCCATCCACCCCCCCCATCCCAGGATCATATCAGACAATTTTATTGAAATGACAATTCACCTTTTCTTTGCTGTACAGTTATAAATTACTATTATTGTCTTTAATACCTGTTGGAAAACTCTAGACCGGGTTTTGTTTTTCTCTCTCTCCCTTTTTTTTTTTTTCCCTTCAAAAAGATTAAAGATATATTAACCCCATTGTTTATGACAAACTCAATTCGTTCTTTCTCCTGCCAGACACTGATTCAAAGTTGCCTACTGAGTTACGGCCATTGTTTCCGTGAGAATTTTGGTGGAAAACATCTGAAAATTCAATGCAGCATTTTCCAAAAGTTTTCAAAAACTCAAAGATACTGGAATATATTTCTGGCGTTGAGATGTAGTAGTAATCATGCATAAATATCAAATTCCAAATTCAAATCAACTGAATCACCGCCAACCAGAACGTCTGTCTGATACTCCCTCTGATCTTTTTTAAACTATTAAAATTGGAGATTCTACGACTAAGAGCTTCATCTTCTCATAATAAGGACTTGTTAAGGTTTACAAGTCTATGAGGCTCTTTTTGAATGTTTTGAGCTAACAGCAAATTAGTCTCGAAAACCAGTCGAATAGTTTTGAGGGTCGGAATTGATTGGAGTAGCCACCGGGTATAACGACCTTAGTCAATGTGATTAAATAATAGCTAGAACTCAACTAATCTAGAAGAAATGCCACAAAACAAATAAGACGAGATGTATTAACCAGTATCTTCAGACGGACATGAGCAACACAGAATTTATCAGGGAAAAATTTGCCATACCACATAAGATCGAGACGCAAGAGTAATCAATATTACACTTTGGACAAATGATCACCTAGCAAACTTGATCTCATCAAAAAATGTCGCTCAAGTTGCACAATCTAAAAAGCTAGTCATTAAGACCTCCTGTGTTAGATTTTCAGTCATACATTCCATCTTGCTCCCAGACGTCCACAAGAAAATCCACCATTTCCTAATAGGATCCAAATTGACAGGGGGGTTGATGTCAGAAGAAAGGAATAATAGTGGAGGACAACATATGCATTCTTCAATTTGGTTAAACAATAGGCTTACTGCTAGACGAATGGGCTTCGGGAATGGTTTATTACTTCCAAGCATACTATCATAGGTTGCATTCCAACTGTAAAGCCAAAAGTTCTTAGCCATGCAGAGACAACACAAAGAGCTGAGAAAAATACAAGAGGGAATCAATGAAAGTGTGGAAATCATTCTGGCAGACAAAACCTCACACAAACCAATTGTAATTCCTACAAGTGCCAGAAACTGAGGACGAAACAATCAATTAGCTGGTGGTTGAGCCATGCCAAACAGTACCTACCCACCATTTCACTAATTCTTAAAATAACTGCAAGTTCCCGTTCAGTGTAGAAGTCTAAAACTAGTAATTATTAGTTTCAGGAAGGTTCTATGTTCTGCCCTGATCCGAAAGCAATGTCTTATAACTTCAATGAGAAACTGTATTACAAATAACGTCACACTTCATTCAAAATTTAGTCAAGCTATGCAAGGCTATTTAGTCTGTTGAATTACTAAGACAGCAGAAGAATACCTATCCCCCCTTGATTGACAACAGTGGCCAAGGAAAACAGGGCAACAACTGAGTAAAAGAATGGACTAGACTTAATTTAACGCCTACTTGCATGACAAATGTTAACAATACAGTAACATAAAACAAATTAAATAAAAACAAAAACTAACTGAAGTAACCAACTGTCCCTTATGATGAAGTGCAATCCAGTTGCTTTCTCATCCTTCCATGGACCAAAACACACATCCCCACCCCATCTCCCCAACATCCACCAACAAAGAAAGGGGAAAAAAACAAGAACCCTCACCAACTGAAGATTATGGCAGAACCAATATGATTGAATATGAGGCAGAAGATTGTGTACCTTAACTTAGGCGCACGCGACTGCTGTACTTGGCTATAGGACTTCCTACTGCCAACCCATTGCTTCCTACTTTGCTTCCAAAGATGAAGACCTACAACATAATTCATTAGAATTTAGCTCCCTCCCACCTCGTAATTACTCATACGGAAAAATAAAAAACCAACTGCCATAACAGCTGCAAAAAATTTTCAGATTGAGAACCAAATGTTAAAATCGAAAAAGTTATAACCAGGTACAAAGTTATCATCGACTAGTAAGCTCTGACCGACTATCAAAAATGATGTTAATAAAATACCATCCAATCTACAACAGCAAGTTATGAGGTAAATGTAAATTCAAAGGCATCAAAGTACAAAGCCATCACTAAATCTTCAAGGAGAAGAAAAACTTGCCATGATTTACAAACTCAGAGGAAGCATTTGAGCATCCTGCACTGAGTGGATCATTCACTGAAGTACTAACTGATGATATACTCCCCGGGGACTGAAAGGTACTCGCATCATAATCACAGTTACTGGTTGTCCAAAAACTCTCTGGTGTGCTTCCTTTATACACAGTCGGAGCCATTGGAACCTCAGGTATCTGCTGGTTCAGAGGCTCGTCAATTGATGACGCTAGCTTTGGGTAGAGAGAAGATCCAACACAGCCACTGCTCTGCAACGACATTATCAACTGTTAAAATTCATTCAACATAGAGGCGACAAGAAATGACTTATAACCAAATATACCGCCCTAAAATTTAAAGCTGATGCGCTCCCCTTCACCAACCCCCCAACCTCCCCCATCCAACCTAAAAAAAGGACCATAACCTAATTAAATCTCTTGACTCTTGAGTGAATGTTACATTGACCACAACCAATTTCCGTCAAAGTGAATCAGGGCAAAGCACGGAACTAAATTATAACAATAGTATGGTGCTAGGAAAACATCTACAGGAGAAAACAAAATAACAAAAACCAATATTTAAGCACTGCGCTAAAATTCAAGAAAACCTGAAGGTAAAACGCAAATGAAACCAAGGGAATCGGGAAATCATACCCCATGCATGCAACAATTTGGAAAATCCAGGCCGCAATAGATCCAAACCGCAGCAATATCCCCACCATAAACATCGATTCCAGGGTCAGAGAAAACAGAATAAAACCAGCTTTCTCCCCTTTCACAAATACACCCTACAAATTACATAATATCAACAAGCTCAATGACACACACATACGAAGCTAATGTAACATTTCAAACAAACATTCATCTAAATATTCATAATTGCGAAGAAAGGAAGAGAAACCTTAGAGTGCGTGAGAGAGAAAGAGAGAGAGAAAATGCAAATTCGGTGGAAAAATTTGCAAAAACTCTCCTCGCCGGAGAACGCCGGTCGGCCGGAACTTGCTGGAAGGATGATGATGATGACGATTTATTAGTTAAGCGCTATACTCCAACACCGAAAACTTGAAGGTGAAATGGCGACTTTCTTACGCTACTTCTTCGGTTACTATTTGGACTGTTCTCTATCTTTTAAAAATTGTGGGGCTGCATATTTATCACTTTTATTTATTTATTTTTTTCCTTGTTGTTCCGTTTAAAAAATTAACACAATACACATAAGGTTGTTTCATTTTCTTTTTTTAATACTTTTCCCGTTCCAATTTGATAGGCCACTTTGCTATTTAAATATGTCTCACTAAATAACATGCTTTCCTTATTTAAGATGTGTTTTCTAAATGTACCCCTAATTCAACTAACCATCTAACCATTATTAATGCTCTATAAGGGTTTTTTAAGAAGATTAAGGTAAAAATTATTAGTTAAGTTAGTTTTATTAATCCATGTGAAAATTGTCAAAAATTTATTGAATTGGGACAGAAGGAGTACATTCACATCTTCAAGACTGTTGGTATTAAAGTCGATTTGAGCCACATAACAACATCAATAATCATAAAGTACGTTTGAAAACAAAAAATCTAAATCGGAATGAGTTGAGGACATGGACGTGATGAAAATGGGCGGCGTTTAAATACTAATGTTGGCGGTGAAATATGACAAAAACGTATGAGAAGGACACAACAATAAAAGATTCTAGCGTCAAAACTGAGAGAGAGTTGCTCTATTTAGTACTACTATACATCTTCTTAGAATTTTTAATGCTGTTTTAAAATCAATTTTTTTCAAGTCCAAAAATATGTGTTCGTGCGATTTTTGGCCCAACAACATGATGTTTTGCTTATGTAATTAGTCATGTGGAAACTTTTAGTAAACTCTAAGATGGCGGAAAGGTTAATTGGCCGAATCTATACACTATAGGTCATCAAAATGTGATGTCTCAACATTTTTTTAAAAAAATGTCGCAAGATAATAAATTTGTAGAAAATGAGAGTAACAAGTAACATGTATGTTTCTTTCCAAATGCAACGAAGTCCAGATGATAACATGATTTTTTTTAATTATAATTTATGATGTGTTGTAATAATCCAATTTATGGTAGTGAAGTAGATTTTTAAAAACAAAAATAGTGGTTTAGTGACACACTTAGGGTAGCACTAGCGGTAGCAATTTGTGATGTCTGTGAAAAAATAAAAATTTGATTCGAGGGGGTAAAAAATGAGAAGATAGATTCATTCAACCGGGTACATATGCTCACTTAAAATTAGTCTTAATCTGGCCCAAAATGGACCGGATTTTTGTAGCAGAAATACAAATTCCATTTCGTTCAACTCTAACCAGCAATTATCTCAATTCCAGCTTTAATAAGCCTATTGCCTTTACCAATCCGCTGATTGAGAAAAGATAAAGTAGCACACAAGACGAATCAATTTGACCCTAAAAAAAAAGGTGTGATCTTGGATTCATGGTTAAATTTGAACAGATGAAATTCAATTTGTGCACTAGAATCAATGGCTTTTGAACTCAGACAAGTGGCTTTGAAGAAACTTTGAATGGACCAAAAATGTTCTGGTTTTAGTAGTATTAATCTATGATCTATCCACTACAAGCACTCATTAATCGTAAAGAGCAAGGAGTTACTTTAATAATGAGCTAAGGAGGAAACGGAATCGTGTGGAAAGGTCGGAAAAAGCGTGATGACAAGTAAGGATGCACGAGTCATACTATGCTGAAGAAGTACACCGCCTACCTTTGAAATGAAAACCACATAATAGAAAAAGCAAAAAAAGAAGCGTGATTTTAAAACAAGGGGAAAAGCCATAACGGGCAGGCAAAGGCTGTCAACGAATCGAGTCAAGCCCAAATAATTAGGTGCTTGAAATCGAGTTCGACAAAAAATTTGGAGCTCGTATTCAAGTTCGAACTCGGTCGCACCTCTAAATTGAAATTTGAGTTTGACTCGAAATAAAAACGAATAGCTCGCGTTTGACTCGATTGGCTCGAATTTTGTGTACGATAAAAATTAAGCTCAAATACTCGATAATATTGAGTTCGAATAAATTTTAATATTTATCATTTTTAATTCAACAAGTTCAATCTATGTATTCTAAGAGCAAAATTCTTTGACAAATTATAAAAAATATATATTTATATCTTATTATTAAATTTTCAAATTATAAAGGACAATAATTTTTAAGGAATAAAAAGAGAAGTTTTCATAAATTATATATTATTCACAATAAAAATAAAATAATTTATAATAAACTTGAATAGACTCGACGAATTCTCGAATCAAGCATATTAATACTCGTATTTGACTCGTCTATCTAATCGAACTGGTCGAATTCGACTCAAGTTCGGTCAAAGCCGAATTCAAACCAAGTTTGTACCAAACTATTCGCGAACTGCTCGGTTCGTTAACAACACTAGACAACACACAGATTTTTGCATAAAAAGCTTTGCACGATGCTTACAACTACTACTGATCTTTTGCTTTTTGCTCCTTTTGTATAAGGAAAAATAGTAACCTCTCCCATTTTGCTTTTTGCTCCTTTTGTATAAGGAAAAATAGTAACCTCTCCCAAAATAACTATAGTAGTATTAGCTTGGGCTAAGTATTAGTAGTAAGTTTGTGTTAAAATTTTGGTAATAGGTACTGTATTTAACTTTATATTGTGTCGAGTAGTCTTTGGAACTATAAATATACGGTTAGCCCTGAGACCGGAGACCGAGTGAATTCTCTAATTCACAGGTAACTTGAAGGCTTTTTCTCCAACCCAAAATCAAATTGAACCACCTTGCATTTCGTGTTTATCGAAAATCCAATTTCTGTTTTTAAAAATTCCCCATTTTGGATTTCGAAACCAAACAGAGATCAAAAAATGGTGACAAATAAATAAATAAATAAATAATACAAACAAGAAAGAGAAATGAATGGCAAAAACAAAAAATTACAAATGCACCAAGAGGATTAAATCTAGTAATAATTCCAATTTCGAAAAAATTAATATGCACACAAAAGACTACAGTCAATGGGGGAGTGGACTCCGGTGGGCTGGCAGAGCCAGAGATGGAAGCACCAAATTTTCTTCCTCAATTTAGTGCAACCTGATATTTTTTTTCCGGAGCCTTCAAAGTTGAAACTTTACAGCCACAATTCCAATGTTCAATCAATCGGACCATATATATATATTCTTTTTTTTTTCCCCTCTATACAAAATAATTGAGGATCACTAATAAGAGAATTCCATGCGCTGTTGTAACCGATCCCTCAAAATCCCACTATACAGAGCCATCCGATTCGCCGGCATTCCGCAAGCAGAAGAAACTCTCTGAAATTCCGTTGACCTCCTCTGTTGTTGTTCCCTCCTGTATTCTTCCCCGTTTCCACTCGGTTCCTTCACATCCGCCGCGAATTGTACTCTCTTTTTCTTCTTCGTTTTCTCCGTTTTCTTCTTCCCACCTATTTGAATTTCACATCCCAACAAAATCAGAGGAAAAAAATAAAAAGAAAATCAAATTCCCAATTTCTTCTATTCACGGAGCCAAAATTACTGAACGAACGACGACCCTTTAATTCAATTTGGGTTCATCATGTTCCTACCTGATGATAAGCAAGATCTCAAATGGTGCTTTTGTGGAGTTGGGACGATCTGGGTCGCCGAGAAATACTTCTCCCGGCAAAGATCAAAGAGGAGAATGGTCCCGGCGGAAACCGCCATAGCTGTGGCCAACACCAAACCTTGTGACAGGGAAGAAGCCATGGTTTTTCTTCTTTTTTGCAAGGTTTCGATTCTCTGGGAATGGAAAGACAAACGAATTGTCGTTTATAAACAAAAACAAGTCGACATGCAATTAATTGAAGGGGAATATAATAATAATGGGGGAGAAGAAAGGATTTTTAAAAAGATTTTTGGGGTTTTGGAGGTTTGTTTCTGGGTGGAGGTGGTTTCTATGGTGGGGGTTAGGAAGGAGTGTTATAAATTATTTGGACTCAAATTTTGGCTTTTTAATAGTGGGGAACTTTGGAAGGACTGGAATTTTCCCCCTTTTATTTTTTTAATTTCGTTTTCTAAAATTTATTTTTGTTACGATTTTTGACGTTTCTCCAAGTGGAATGGGTTTGGTTATGTGGGGCAAATTTTTAAATAGGCTTTGAATAAATCCCAATTTTATTTTTTTTTTTGGATATTATTTATGCAGAGCACGCCTGAAAAAAATCAGGGTATTTTTTTAGTAATAAATTTTGCTGTGATTCCTTTTTTATAACATATAATAGTAACTGATATAATAACTAGTCATTGATTATTACTTAAAAGTTAATAATCAATGAATTTCTAGAATTATGAATAATTATACAGCATGTAAATTAAAGTAAAATATTTGACATGATGAGTCACACTCAAAAGTCAATTTGTTTATCTAAATGTAAACTATATTCGGTGAATAAAATCAGGATGAATGCTTAATTAGTGGTACTAGGAGGTTATTCATTTGAATTTTGATGTTTAATTATGAAAAAACTATGTTTGGGGTCGACCAAATGGTAAAATCAAGTTAAGGTTTCAAAGATAATACCTTTCCTGTGAGTGATAGTTGTGATTGAATCATCATTCAGCTATGAAATCACAGCTTTCATGTTTTGTTCTCTATTTTTTTTTTAAAAAAAAAAAATCTTTAAATAAGTATTAGTTGGTTTGGTAAGTCATTTGGTAGCTCCTGATTCTCATTAAAAAAATAATACTCCTTCCGTCCCATAATTATTGTCCACTTTGCCTAAAAAATTTTGTCCCAAAATTATTGTCCAATTTGACTTTTTATGGATCAAGTTACACATTTGTCCTTAGTAAAAAACATTATTCATAAAATCTTAGTGGTTAAACAATTACTTATGTAGGGGTATATCCGGTTGTTTAAGGTAAAATATAGTTAAATTTGACCAAAAATAAAATCTTTCATTTTAGTAAAATTGGACAATAATTATGGGACGGAGGGAGTAATAATTAAAAACAATCAGTGATTAAAGCTTTGGAGGAGGCTACAAATAATAATTTTTTTTTCTGTTGAGTTAAAAAAAAAATGAAAATATACTGCAAATATTACTCCTGGTTAAGAAAAAAGAGGGTAAAAGAAGAAAATGAGCCAAAAGCCTAGCATTCTCGCGATTATTCTGCTGCCCCTTTTTTCTTGTCTACTTTTTGCATTATTTATCATTTTTTGTATATAATGAGTGAGGTAAAGTTTTAAAGAATTAAATACATTTTAAGGATAATAAGAGTGATAATTTCGTGTTGTAACCAGAATTTAACGCCAACGAAAATACACATAACTTCTAACAACTAATGAGACCATAAACTGGATCAGCAACAAAATTCAAAAGTTTGTGTTTTTTTTTTTTTTTTTCGGAAGCGGCTAATCTAGAGTCATTGATTACTTCAGCAGTGAAAAAACCTCTTGGGAATGTAAAAAAAAATGCGGTGCATATAGTCTAGATCTCTAGTCTTAGGTTGTTTGGTTTTGGTTTGTTTTTCTGATGGGGTTTTTAACAATTTTAATTAATAATTTGCCAATTTCAGCGCATAAAAACGCATAAAAAATAAAAATAAAAATACACGTTACCAAAACAATCCAAACATACCCTTAAAATCGTTGAAAACTCTCCAAAATGTTCAATCCTCAACTGTAAATAACTTGAAAAAAATAAAAAAAATTTATAAGAAAAAAAAATGTGTAGGGTAAAGCTATGTGAAAATGAGACAAAATTGATACCTTCGATGTCCCCATCCTCTCGTTGTTTCGACTACAACTAATTCCACTTGGATCATCAATCAATGAATGTGTCACTCTTGGGAGTTTTGTAGTTGATTTCACGTATGAATTTGTGGATAACATGTGTTGCCTGTAGCCAGATTTAACCCCACGCTCAGTTTTTCTCTTTCCTTTTCTTTTTTCACCCCTTTATTATTATTACGCCCTCCGTCCCATAATTATTGTCCACTTTATCCAAAAAATTTTGTCCTAAAATTATTGTCCAATTGGACTTTTTATGAATCAAGTTACACATTTGTTCTTAGTAAAAAACATTATCCACTAAAATCTTTGTGGTTAAACAATTACTTATGTAAGGGTATATCCGGTTATTCAAAGTAAAATATAATTAAGTTTGACTAAAAATAAAATCTTTCATTTTTAATAAAACTAGATAATAATTATGGGACGGAGGGAGTATTATACTGTAAATGTTTGTCATCATCAATAACAGTATATATAATCTCTTATAATAAGCATAAAGTTGATCAAATGATTCTAATTTAACACATTTTTTGTATTTACTCCATCCTGATTTCGTATGACATGTTTCTATTCAATTTACTTTTGGATTCCTAATCTCGAAACACACCATTCAGCCATCATGGCATCATCGTACAAACTGGCTTGCAAATACCGAATACAATAGTTTTGGCTGCTGTTGTCGTCTTTCCAGATAATAATAATCGGTGGAGTTCACGAGTGCAATAGCGTCTTGTGTAATCTCCTTCTGTCATTGCGTTCACCTTTTTTCTCTTTGCAACTTCCATCCGGTCTTTAGTATAAGGTATTTTGATTTTGTCTTAGATTTCATCTAATACATATTTTTAATTGACAAAAAAATCTTAAAAATATTTCATAACAATCAAGAGAATACGACGAATGTGAAAATATATTTTTAAAGTTTTTTCATCAATTAAAAATATGTACTATATGAAATTTAGGATAAAATCAAAATACATTACATTAAGGACCGGAGGGAGTATGTTGAAAATGTAAAACACAATTTACTTAAATATTGTAATATCGCATTACTTGTTCTCCTGTCTTTCAGCGACAAAAAAAAATGCAAATAGTATGATTCTTTTTTAAATAATAATTCATTATATTTGTACTTAATTTTAAAGGAAAAAATTGACTATTTTTATTGGGATTGAAAAGAAATATAAACGAAACAGAAACTATATGAATCCATCACGTAAATGCTAGTGAAAATCTCGCATGTAACTAGTTTTCTAAATATTAATTCTTTTTTTCCAAAATATAAGTCCACCTTGAGTAGCACAAAAATTAAGGACTAACCATTAACAAATGAAATTTTTTTAGTATATTCTTAATTAATTACATCAACTACTTAATTCAAGTAGTTGTGTGTTCACTGTTGAAATTCTATAATTAGCATTTAAAACACAATGTTAACTTGAGAAAAAAAAAAAAGAAATTATGCATTTGAAACAAAGTAGACTTGTAATTTGAGGTAACCACAATTAGAAAGTGAATTTCTATTTGAAAAGGAAGCAGCAGTTGTAATGATGATTGATTATTTCATGTGCCTAAATGATTGTGTATCTAAAAGTTTTGGAAATAGTACAACTTAAATTTCAACGTAAACTATCTTTTTTTAGACAGAAAGAGTATAATTTGTACTAAAAATATAAAAATCTGAGTAGATAATTATTTCCAGACGAAGAAACTATATAATATTTTATCACCACAACTTTTCTTTTATTTATTGTTTTTAAATACTTAGGAAGCCATTTAGGTTTGGCTATAGAAAATCCCTTTGATTGTGTTGGATGAAGGAGTCCTATCTAGCTCGACTAATTCTAGATGGGGAAAGTTGACAAAATATGTAATCCCGTTCAAATACAAGAATCCAAATCTAACAAGTGAGACTTTGGTAGTTTGGTTTTTCCGACATAAATATAATGTAATTTTTGTTTGGACAAGATGACCCATGGGCCATGGCGGTTGATGGAAATGCGGGGACCCTATATGGCCCATGAGGTGAATTAATGCCAGTCCATCAATAAATCAGTATTCAACTATTCATTCAGTTTGTTACAGAAGTAACACTGTATCAACTCTGGATGTGTAGTTGTCTGTCAATTTTGAGCAGTTTCTTCTATCATTTTCCTGCGATATTAACACTCCAACATGAAAACGCCAAAAAACCCTTCACTCCCAGTCACGTTCAGTCCCATCTCTATTTACATTTGTCCACCCAAATATTCGTGTAAGAATCATCAGTCACAAGCTTTGTTCCACGCCACCAATTTTTTTTGTTTCTAGAAGATTTTCGGATTTCCTACTTGGCGGATAATTTATAAAGTTTAACCATTGAGCTGTTAACTTGTGAGTGGTTTGAAATTTGATTTTTGTTTTCGTCAAGGAGGAAATAACACTTGCAAAAAACGGGAACAAACCATTTGGCCCAGTAATTAGGACCTTCAACAGCAAACCCACACCCTTTCCCCATAAGACAGAAGTTGCAACAGTGGCACCTTACAAACACGTTTCCTTAAACTGACGAAATTACAAACAACAAAGTCGTCAGTTGCTAGTTTTATTTTAGGGCATTGTTATTCGAACAAAGAAGAAAACAAGTTCTGCACTAAGAAACGGAATTTTGCTGAAAACCATTTCAAAACTCACACCAGTTCCAACACAAAGGTCAGTAAAAGTACTAAAACCGCAAACTTATTGTCTCATGACACGTGAACTGAAAATAAAAAGCTAAAGAATCCGGTCTTCCTAAAACAAGGAAACGCAAATCTTGCATCTCTCTTTAGGTGGTCAGAATGGGTGGAAGATAGTCAGATTTAGTGCCCAGAACCCGGGCCTTCGTGTCGGGGAAGAACTCCATTCCAGGAAGCTCTGTGATATCCCCTTCGCTGGCGATCCCAACGGGGTAACGAAGCAAGTGTCCGGGAAGGTCCCGCTCAAGACTTTCACTCGCATAGAGATCCCAGTACTTGTCTGCCATCTGGTTTACCTTCGTAACACATTCCTCGCTTTCTGGACGGAGGAAACAGTCATCCAGCATGCCAAGATGTTCATACCATAATGACATGCGGAAACCATGAATTTGACCCCTAGCTGGGGTCCTTGTGGACAAATGATGCGGTTGGTAGGCACCCATCGCTATTTCAGAATCTCTTGCACCATCCATTGACCTCTGGTTGATGTTGGCAGATCCAATGATGATGTATTCGTCATCCACTGCCACAAAACAAAATGATCATAGTGAGAAAAACATGGAATTAAATATAATTGCAGATGACAGAAAGAAATGAAGCTATTGTTTACCGATCATCATTTTGGTATGGACATAAATCATGAAGCGTCGAGCCTCCTGAGCTCTAATGTAGTCTGAATCAGGTTCTGGCTGCTCTGAAGGTTCATATTCACCACTCTTCTTGACCTCCCGGTTCCCAAGACAGAAGAATGTCAAGTAATTCCTCGGGTCCTCTTCTATGCCCTTTTCCCTCAAAGCCTTGATGATATCCGTATACATCATCTCCATTGTTCGCCTTTGCCAATCCAATATCGCCTGAACTGATCCACTCTCGGGAATACCTTCTGGCCACATTGGGACCACAATATACACAGTGAACCTTTCCCCAGCCTCAATCTTACTGACAATCTTTAGAGAAAGTTCCTTGGGGATTTGATGCAAAGCACCAATATCTTCAACCTTGATATCATCTGCCTTCCAGCCATAACAACTTCCAAGGAAATACTGGTTTTCAATGTAGATAAAATTTTTGGCACGGCGAATAGCATTGATATATGCATCTTGGATGCTTCTGTCAATTATGTTGTCCTTCCCACTGACAAGACCTGCTTTAGCAGCTTCTTCAGGTGTGTCAGGGAAGCCAAAAGCAGCCCCACCATCAATGGATCTAAAGAGCTGTACATGCCATGACTCCTCATCATCTGGGAACATTACTGGAGAGGGGGGAATAATAACTTCATCAAGCTCTCTCAGGTTAACAAGCAGATCCTTCCCACCCTGCTTTCTCCATCTCTGCTCAAAATTAAATAAAACATCCCAAGCAATTGGGCCTTCAAGACGGGAATGAATATCATGCCAAGGTTCCCTTGGTCCGCCTTTGGTAATTGCAGCACCAGGGAAATTAGGCTGATGAAAGTCATCATGGTGTGCGGTATCCAATGTTCTGAACAGTGAGTGGAAGGCAGTATCATATCTTCCATCACAAAGATCGATACCGCCAACAAAACTCACAATCCTCCTTTGCTGAGAACCACCACTAGGCATATCACTATCCACCACCACGATTTTCTGATGATGAGTAAACATGGTTGAAATTTGTAAATCCTGAACAATGCTCCCACCATCGTCAGGATTGCGAGGGCACAAGACACAATGAACATCTGTACCTTGGAAGAATTGTTCAGTTTCTTCATCATGAGTAGCCATTAAGCCATCCTTCTTCAGTACACCCACGGAGGTTCTGTCATCCCAAACAAGCATAAGTACCCTGACACCTTCACTAGCCTTTCTCTTAAGTAGTTCACCAAGTGTGACATCACCTCCCGGCTTCTGCCTCCTTGAATCCCTTATCAAGGTTATCTCAGTGTACACAGACCACCCAGTAATGTAAATCAAGTGCTTTGCATTAGAAATGGCATCAAAGATATCTTCCCAGCATCTGTGAGGTTCATAGTGCTTTCCTCCAGCAAGAGGGATTTTAGGAACAAAATTATCTGGCACATGAGCATCTTGATACAGAGAAACCCGACATCCTGTTCTCTGTGAGAAGAAAGTGTAAGGAACCCCAGGAAACTTGGCACTTCTAATCCCACGAGCCCAGGTACGATCTCTAGACACATCAAAGTACTGTAGTTTCACATGGATTTTTGAACCTTCACTAATAGGATTTCTGTCTTTATCCAGTATCTCCAACCACCTATCCAACTCTTCTCCATCTAAAATTTCTTGCACTGGAATATAAGCTCTTCCAATTAAGGTTGCACCAATAGGATTGTCATCTTTAACAGTGAATATGATGTTTGAAGCTTCATGGGCACAGTAGATATGAAAAGACTCATACCACCTGGGATTGTTAGGTTCATTTTCAATCATTCTAGTCCTCCCAACTCTGGCCTTCTCCAGATCAATGGTGGCATAGATTTTGGGAGTTCCTTTGCCGAAACCAACAGTTTCCTCAATATTGGACATAAACTACACAAATGTCAACAGTCAAAATCAGTAGCAGGAAACTGCACAAGCGGATCATGAACATTCAGATTATAAGTTAAAAAACAAACATGAGTTAGTTTCTTGTTTTAGGTTAAACACCAATGGTTGAATGTGGCTGGGTCAAGAAAAGGAACTAGCAGGACAAATCAAGGCATGCTAAAATAGAAACAGAAAAAAGCAGATTATTCAGTAGGACAAAAATGTTTAAATACGAGTATAAAGGTAAATGATAAAAAAAGTCCACTCGGTAACCATAAACTGAATATTGGAATGCTGATTCAGTGAAATTTTAAAATGAACACATCCAACGTTGGGTCAGCAAGAAAGCCATCAGAAATGATATTTCAAGGAATGAACATAAACGGATCTTCATGTCAGCCAGCTAAATATTGTGTTCCCCTAGTAGTTACCAATAGTGTAAAGCAATGAGATCATGAAGTATACTGAGACTAATCACATCTCTTACAAACATCAATGAAACAAAGTCTAATCACAGTAAAACCCAAGCTCATGATTTTAAAAAAGCCGAAGATGGCGCCACGCCAGTTTATCAAAACAAACCATGCTGCTGAATTATACCGAAAACAGATCACTGGGATCAAACTTGAACTGTAAATTTACAATCTCACTCTCGTCAAGCCTATAACTAAATACTCCCTCCGTCCCATAATTATTGCCCAGTTTGGGTTTTCATTTTTAGTTCAAATCGTACGAAAAGTGAAATCTCAAACTGGACAATAATTTTGGGACAGAGGGAGTATCAGTTTTTTCATTTTTTTAGAAAAGAACGCAGTATTGATCATAAATCAAGGTCGCCAAACAAAGAGTCAATATTAACAATGATCAACCACGTCAACGCACAATGCTCTAACATCAACACCGCAAATCTGATTTTTTTTAATAAATAAAATAAAAATTAGGAAGCAGGGGAACTGATCCAAATTGGTGAAAAAAAAAAAAAAAGGATCCGCTGGTTGTACCTTCTTGAAAATGTTGGGACCGCCTCCTTCGCCGTGGAGCCTGTCGACCTCATAGATCGTGACATGGAGAGTTCCATGGAGCGAAATCTTATCCATCTTAATATCAACCTGTACACGAATTAAATCGACTGAATCATCATCAATCAAGCTCCAAAATCAGGAATTAACATTTAAAAGAAAAAAAAAAATCAATTCAACACAATACATCATAAAGCGAGATTCAGACAATGATGAAGCAAATAATGAGCTGAAATTGTACTGGGTTCTGACAAGAGAGAATTTACCTACAGAACGGAAATAGAGAATGGGTGATCTGATCCGATCTTTCGCAAGGGAGAGAGTGTAAAAAGAGAGGAAGAAAATTTTGTAAAGAGTGAAGTGATCCGCTAAAGCTGCTCACGGAGTTATAATAATGGATTACGCGGAGGCAGAGGAGAGAGAGATGATGGACTTTTCGATATCGTTTTTTATTTTTGTTTGAGGGCCCTGATCTTTATGTAAATTGCAATTCTTTATTCGGTATTACATACTATCTCTCTGATTTCTTTTCCTTTTCTTTTCTTGGGTATATTTCTTTTCCTTTTTTTTGATTTATCCTTTTTTTTTTTTTTGATATTTCCCATTCAAGATCCACTGATTGAGGGTCTATGGTACATGAACTTGCCAGTGCCGACATTTTCTTCGTAAATATTAACATAAGTAATCGTGATTGGTACGAGTAATAAGACATTTGTGCAGTTTTTAAGTATAGCACATAAGTCGTCGTCGTTCAGTTATTTACCGAAGAACTTCACATTTTACAGCTATTTCTTGTTAATTTACTCTTCAGAAAATAAAATAGTTTCCTTCTTCCATTACCTTATAGAATGATTATCTTACGCGTTGTTAACTTGTAAAATCTAAACACGAGAATGATGTAAAAGAAAATCGCATTATACAGATTTTTGATGTACTACTTACTTAATATCTTAATATTTTCATTTTTTAACGTGATAGTTGTAATTGAAAAATAAGATAGTTTCGAAAAGAATATACTTTTGGACGGTTCACTATTATTCTATGTGACTTGCATTTGTGCCCTAAATAAACACCATAAAATAAGATTACATAGTTTTTCTTCACTAACTAATCAGTTTGTTAATTAACATATTGAATTAATACCTAATCAAAGCTTCTTCTCTTACCAATAATAACGATCATTGATTAATAAATAGTAGTAACATTTTCAATGAGTGAGTGTCATCTCGTCACAGCTAGCGATATCATTTGAGATACTTTCGAATAATGGAAAAGAGAATAGGCTCTCGCAGTGCTTTTCTTGTGACGTTTGAAGACTTAACGCAACAACACACAATATCAGCGTTCCTTTTGTTGCATAAAAGTTGCTTGACGCATAACTCTCATGTTAGGTTATCTAAGTACAGTAGTTTATATTAAACAAATAATAATTTTGTGACAAAAAATTTCATTTTATTAAGTTTAAACAATACAAGAAGAAAGTGTATTGGTTTTTTTTTTTTTTTTTTAAATAGAACGGAGAGTAATAAAAAAAGACAAAAACCGTTTTGATTTCATGCCATCTACATTGTTGATGGATACTTGCAATAAGGAGACAAATTACAACAAAAAAGAAAAGGAGACAAATTACAACGTCCGTTTCAGATCATTCTTTCCTTGCCAATAGATCCATCGGATTAACCTAACACGATTACGTTAGGTATATGTACGTGGTTTAGAGACGAAAGAATTAATGTACATGACCTTCCAATCTAGCTCTAATCAACATTTAACAACGTCTTTTATTTTTATTCATAAAAACATTTAACAAGGTCACGTCAAATTTTGTCTGAAGATAAGCAAAAGAAAAAGAAGACATCTGTTCGTTTTCTTCCTTTTACTTTTTCGATCCATACATTTGTTAATTTTCGCTAGTAAAATTATTGTCTCACAACAAATAATTACGTCACCCCCTTCCAGTTTTAGAAAGTTTAAGCAGACGTGTGCTCAAGTTTGTGTGTGGAATAATGATCTTCATATACTTTTTCTAATCAAAGCCAACGGATTCGTGAATAAGACGTTACCATTTTAATTTATTGTTTAAACAGGTTTTTTTTTTTTTTTTGAAACTCTTGTTTAACCAGTGAACCATTTCTACATCAATGTTATCATCATGGCTCCCCATATTGGCATATTGCTTTTCTATGTTTTAAAATGTATTACTAGTATGATTGACAGGTCCAAATAGTGTTATTACAAGTAATAATTATCTACGAATCCCGTTAAAACAATATAATGTAAATTTCAATTACAAACAGCTCATGTATTATGATATCCTTTTCATCTCTCTCGAAAATACAATTATGATTGTTGATATAAAATATAGTACTCCCTCCGTCCCATAATTATTGTCCAGTTTTACTAAAATGAAAGATTTTATTTTTTGTCAATCTTAACTATATTTTACCTTAAACAACCAGATATACCTCTACATAAGTAATTGTTTAACCACTAAGATTTTATGGATAATGTTTTTTACTAAGGACAAATGTGTAACTTGATCCAAAAAAATTCAAATTGGACAATAATTTTGGGACAAAATTTTTTGGGCAAAGTGAACAATAATTATGGGACGGAGGGAGTATAATATGCATACGTTTTTATTATGAACGTAAAAAGTACTCCCTCTGTCTCAAAATTATTGTCCAGTTTGAGATTTCACTTTTAATACAATTTAAACTAGAAATGAAAAACCAAACTGAAAATCTCCTTTTTATTTTACTAAGACCAACCCAAGGGCACACACCAAATCACCAAGGATATAAAGAGCAAACCCAAGGGGGGAACTGTTCATGGCACCAAAGCTTGCATATGAACAGTAAAGCACCAATTTGGTGCATTATTGTTCATGAACACCAAATTGGTGCTTGAATTTTTTGTATTGTTTTTTTACTTTTATTTAATTTATGTAATTTATAAAACAACCCCTTTTAAATTAACTAATGTATAATTTATTACTATTGTATATTATTATAAACTTATAAAATTTATAAATATAAATTTGCTGATTTTTAATTAATCTCATGTGTATGACTTAATAAGAAAATGTTATTACAAGTTCGTATGTTTTCATTTACATAAGAAAATGTTATTTTAATTATTACTTTGATGAAATATGGTTTGTCAAATTTAATTTATTATAGTATATTTTTTGTGATGTCGATATAAATATTTTGACTATATTGGAAATATGAAAAAAAAAGACTTATCTTTTGTAATTTAATAAACTTAGTAAAAAAAAAATGAAGGATAAAGTAGAATTGGTGATTTAGGTATGAAAATTATGCTGATGGTTGGACTTCAAAACACTGTAGTTATCACCAAAACACCAATTTGGTGATTTGGTGTGCACCAAATAGATGTTGCCCTTGGGATGGTCTAATACGAAGAAATCACTTTTTGAAAATGCAATAAACGATTTATCCAATAATTGTGAATTTGTTTGATCAAATTTAAAAATAGTTCCATTTGTTGTTGTGTTGCTACGAGTGGGCTACAACGCTCCGCACGTGGATGGAGATTAATCACACCGACATAGACATACCGTACTAAATCGTTGCGTTTAGTCCCCGAACCAATTTGACTTTGACCCGTTCCATCCTTACATGGCTGCTATTCTGTGGGTAACACGTGTTTTCTCCGTGTAAATTTCGGATTAAGCAAAGGTTGAGTCCATTAAGTTGGACAAGTGGGCTCCAAATATATGGCCCATTTTTTAAGGCTGTTCTCAGTTTATGTATCCAAGTGACACCATTGATAGCACAACCCAAGTTTCTATTAGTAGTTTTCCCAAAAGAAAGTCTCCGCTAGTTTTCGCGCTTTATTATACATTATCCGTCTCAAAATTATTGTTTATTTTAAATTTTCACTTCTAATTTAAATAGTTTCAAAACGGAAAAAGTACATATTTTTTTTTTCCGTTCTTTTTTCTAACTTCTAAGGGTGGATGATATTGGTTTCGAGCTAATCAACATAGGCAAAAAAAATTTCTTTTATGCATAAACTGAATTTTATAGAAACGATTAATTACTCGACTATCTTAGTGTTCCAATGGAGATGTCTCGTTAAAGATAGAAAATTACATTTGGGACTAAGCAAAAATAATATACACTTAGACAAAAATACAGAAAGAAAAAGAGAAAAGATCTCTTACCATTTTCCCACTCAACATAATAAAAGATCATAAGAGCTTTTTTTTTAAAAAAAAAAGAAGAAAAACACAAATGAAGACTTTTTGTTTCCGTGTTTATCTTTGTCATGTTTGGGAAAATACATTATGAAGGGAAAAGGTGCAGCAGGGTCATGATTAAAGGAAAAAGTATCATGTTAAGCTTATTATTCAATTTTCTTGCTAATTTTTATGTTCTATTATTTTGAATTACCATTATGTTTCTTTTTTTTTTCTTCCGAAAATATGGACACGATCCCCCCAAAAAAAAAGGAAAGAAAAGATAATACAATGAGTTGGATCACATTGATTTAGTCCTTTTTGAAGAACCCAGTTGATCGTCAAGTTTGAACTTCTAGTATCTTGTTTTTTGGGCTTTGATATTATATCAAAAAGGTTACTCCATTGATTTTGGGCCAATTTGTCGTGGTGATTGGAATGTTTAGTTTTGCCTCATATTTTGGTTAGCTTGGGATGTACAGTTACAATGGTGCATGTGATGGCGAAGTTAACAAGGCTTCAGAATAAGCAGCTGTGAAGTTAGGGTTTATGTGTGGTAGTCCATTCTCGCACGAGTGGGTACGCTCTACCCAGTCCTACTATAAAGACATTTGAATTCAGTTGGGTTTGAATTTGTGTTAGCATTCAATAAACGATACCGGAGATCGACTATTTAGCTAGCTGATTAATTTTTGTGATAGAAAATCTGTTAAGTTAGTTATTTTTTATCGATCAAAATTGAATATCAATCTCTTAATGAGTATGATATGTTTATTATAAAATTTATACTTCTTTTGTTCCATTTGAAATAGAACTACTAGACTGTTTAAAATGGAGTGGAGAGTTGTTTCTGAATACTTGGCTAAGGTTCGAACTTCAAACTCCACCAAATAATCTTCACAAGATCTAGCCATGGATAAATATGTTGGTTTCTCACGTAAATGGAGACGGTGGCTAGCTAATTGTGGCAATGGACTTTTGTTGTATTCATCGATTAAGTACTTAGTGTCGGGACATGTAAGTTTTTCTTCAATTCTTCTTCCTTTATTTTTGGCACATTACCAAAGTTGATACCATGTTTTCCACATGTCCAATGCTACAATGATAGAAACACCACCACCACCACCACCAATGCATTGGCTTATGGAGGAAATTTAGAATTTAAAATTTATAATATTGAGAAATAGAAACTTCATAAACTTAATTAATTAAGATATTTACGAGGAAAGAACTGTTGGCAAAGTCCGACTTTTTGCTCATGATGTGTATATATATAAAATAATA